AAACATCAAGTCCCCCAAGCAAACTTAAACCACCCAAATGTGAATTGACTGGTCACTGGTCGTTTTATGTTGGTCTACAGAGTGAGGGCGGTACCGCGCAGGTCCAACCCGTCGCTGGTTGCGCGATGTCAGGTTATCGACCATCAAGTTACCGAAGAATGCCATCGATTTGAAGCTCGTCCGCGCAAGTGGGCGCTGAGGTCGGGCATCCAGTATCCAAGTGGTCTCGGGTCCCAAGTGGAGGTGTTTGTTACTTTTTGTTTAAAATACCCATTTAATGGGCCCATGCTCACACACAAGCCCTCCCGCACCCCAACGATCCAAGGACATCAGTGAAGTTGCTTTGGGGTGCTTTGGAATCCTTGTTCATGATGGTAGATGTGCTTCGACATTTTGAAGGAGCTTTCATTGATTGTTGTTGACTGTTGGCAGGTTATTGATTGATTCGTGTAGTGGTCGTGAGGTTTTGTCTTGTGATGCTGATAGTGGTACTTACACGACTCCTGTTGCACTGCACCTATGTCCCCCCCGTAATCCCCCATACAATCCCCATGCTATGTGTTGCGGCTGTGTTGCGTGCTGTTGTTTCTGTTTTGTTAAATTACTTGTGACATTTGTTGGTATAAAGCATTATACATCATAGAACTACAACTATCCAGTATGTATATGTGTTGACCTTTGGAGTGGCTAACACTTCTCCGCAACTCCCGCCTTCCAAGGAGTGGCTGTTTGCCAAAGCCACGCTATGCCTGCAATCCCAGAGTCGTGGGGTGATGTGGGCACTGCGATACCAGTCACCACCCCCACATGGAATCTGAAAATGAACCGGTTCCATGTGATTGTTCCCGGATGCATCGAGCTGGTGTAACAACTGACTGATGCAGCTGGGACTTGACTTTCAAAGAGAGATGCGAAACGACCGATGTCAGAACTCTGACTGACACAGGTTTGGCTGAATACACAAATCACAGCGCATCTCGTGCTATAAAGGTGCTTGCCATATATAGGGTTAAAGCTGCTTGCACCGTGCCCAGTGGAAGACATCAGCACATGTTGCTCCTTTGTTGTCACCTATATTAACCATACTCGCCGATACTGGCCGTTACTGGGGATCATCCAACGCATCGTGACATTAGCCAAGTAACACCATCCACTGGTCGTTCCTTGTGTTTGTGGCCAGTGGACATGTTTTGACCAGTGAACATGTTGTTGTTTTGTGGCCAGTGGAACGAATCAACTGCCGACCTTCGGTCCGGCACCGTCCTCGGGGTTCCTTTGATAGAAAGCCCAAAGACATCGCATGTTCACCCATGATTGGAGGTGGTGCACCATGGTGCACCTGTTTTCGGGGATGGCCATTCTTTGTTGAACATCGAGCAGTTCACTACTACATTGGGTTTCACAGGTTGGATGGCACAGACCCCATTATGTTCTAGACAGACGGGGGTCCATACAAAGCACCAAACTTGGGGATGTCCTTGATCCACCAATTCACGGTGATAGGCTTCCCACCACGTGCATTGGAGCGACCTCCGATTCTTCAGGTGGCACCTGAGGAGATGCCGTTGCTTCGGGAAGACGACCTCATGTCCCACCGCTCACAGGCGACCCGTCGTTGGACCGGGACCTTCGCAGTTGTCCGGTGGACAGATGTGGAACAAAAAGACGCCAACGTTTCATTGCGAGCTTATCGCGGCCCGCTATTTCTCGATCAGCCAGGCCGGCCAAGAACCACGGTCCAGCCGGTCCACCAGGGTTGCCTGCGTTGTCCAAAGTTTTCAGACACATGAACATCGCACCCAAACACCGCGTGGTGTCGGTGTTTGGTTTTGTTTTCCACGCGTCGCGCGGGTTTTTGGGGTTCGAGACACGTGATCACCATTGAGCACCAACCAACCGACGAAGTGTCCAGGACCGCCCAGAAGAGGCTTCCACTGGCGCGCTTGGGCGGCCGCGTGAGCGGCAGAAAGGGAGCTCAGGCAGGTCTGGGTGGGTGGATTGGTAGAGATGACTGCTACGACTAGGATAATCTATAGGATATATTATATGTCGTTGTATTATGTTTTTCGTGTGTGTGTTCATCAGACTTTTGCATGTTTATTATGGGTTTCAAGTCATTGGAGTTGTTTATTTTGCATGCATATATTGTTTTTTAGCTAGATCTTCCGCCCAACCGACCAGTCTGAGGACTGCAGATGGAGGTCAGTTGATATCCTCGAGGGGAATCACGAAGGAGGGACATCCTGCATGGGTCCATGGCGCAACCTTCGGGCTACGGGGCTACGGTGGTTTTGTAAACCAATCCCCCCCCATGTTTGTGCCTAGCCGTTTTTTGTAAACCAAAAGCATTTTGTAAACCACGTTTTGTTTTAACATGTTGACCAATACATGTTTTGTGAACTAATCCATTCCGTGTTGACCATTCCTTGTATGTTTTTGTTTGTAAACCCATTCAATCCATTACGGAATTTGTTGTGCAAACTGTAAACTCCGTTTTGTGAACCAAGCTGGGTCAGCCCGCACGAGCCAGGCGAAAGCCAGGCAAGCCGGCCTCCTTTACCACCGCGCGGCCCACGTGAAGGGCTTAGCAGGTTGCATTGATGGCTTTTGCATCTCAGATTCTGCCAGAAGCTCGAATTCACCAACATCCGAGCACCCTACACGAACATCATGCCTTCGTATGAGTTACATTCAAAACCCACATGTAAGGATTCTCTTCAGGAGTTGCACCAAACATTTTTGAAGAAGACCTGGAACAGTCAGCAGCTGCGCATGAAAGAATACTACCATAATATTTGCAGGACTTCACGAAGGGAGGAGGGCAGAGATGGCAAAGTCACAGAGCAGAATGTCACGTTCAGTGGAAACCCTGGAACGATGAGGCTGCAATCAGTCATGTGTTTCCATTGAGCCGTGCTGTATGGAATTTGGCTTTTACACGGGGGCTTTGAACGCTGCTCATATGCCTTCCAAAATTAGAGTTTCTCCACGATCATCATCCCAGCACCCTTGTTGATGAGCAGAGCCTTCCTACTCCCTACCTAGATGGAAGAAACGTCTTCACATACGAGAGCGTAGTTTGTTTGATCCGTCAGTCTAAAAAATGACTTGTCTTCTCGAAAACAAGTCTTTTGTTCCTCATGCCTTATGGCCGCGGACACGGTTCTTTCGAGTTGATCTGGCTACGGGAGCGATTCGGCGTGGTTTCAGGATCGGCCTTGAGACGATGACGGGGTGTATTGCTTGGTTTTCTTTCGCCCCCAAAATGAACAGAATATACTGCCGGGGAGGTCAACCGGAATTAATTAGAAGCCTTTGTGGGGTCCCGCCCCTCAACCTGAGTGCCAAAGAGTTTGGGAAGGCCATCTCAAGAAATGATCAGGTCCGTAGACTGACATCACAGAGATGGCGAACCTTAGAAGGCCAAAGGTTTAAGAAGACAAGATCGAGAGAAAATAAGTTCTTACCAGATTGTGCAAATCAGATAAGGTTTAAAACGACCTTCTACTGGCTGATTTCTTCGCAGACCGTTTCTTCATCAAAGCCATCCTCGCTTTTTTCCTGCGCACCGAGCAGGTGAGCGCCGCACCGAGCCGGAGGCGCGAAATCCGGGGAGCGATCCCATGCGAAATCCAGGGCTGGGCTTGATTGCGATAAATACATACATAGCATTGCATAGCTGCATATATATATATATATAACTATATATACCAAGACCCTCCAAGAGGTGTTTGTAAATAGCCTCTTGGAGGTTAAGAGGTGTCCAAAAAACACCTGTTGGAAGGTCCTGGTATATCTTCATCGTCGTGGGGGCTTGTAGAACGTGACTTACACCGACTTGCAACGTGTTCAGCTGGTGATTGATATGTGATTGATATTGATTGATATAATTTCTCGTCGAACATGTACAACTTGTTCGTTTCAAATCTGAAATTGATCTGGCAGTTCCAACCCACTCTTCTCATCTCAGTTTGTTGCAGCCCTGCTTGAGCAATTTGTTGCTCAAGCAGGGCTGCAACAAACTGAGATGAGAAGAGTGGGAGAGCCCTTCACAGGCACACAGGCACCACGACAATTGTTCTAACATGGCTGACTACAATGCCGGCAATGAATGAGTGGTCCGAGTGGTTATATAGTTATAGTTGGGATGGGCATAGGATGATATAGAGCTAGCCCTCAACCAAACCCATATACTCTATCTATGGCTGTTCTCTTCGGATCAACACCTATCGTGGTCCCAAGTGTGTCATGGGGGGCCGCTCCCGATCCCAGATGCCGAAGATCACTGGGAGCCTCACGTGTGCAGGCTCAGAATCTCTACTAGGTTGCTAGGGCAATGATAGGAGTATGGAATAGTTATGGACGGATTATCGAAAGACCAATGCAATCAACCAAAAGAACCAGGTTCCCAAAGGGTCCAGGACCATCCAAATCCGCTGATTCTTCGCCCTTTGCAAAGCACACCTTCTCCGGGAAGTATCTATGGTGGTTCGTGATGTTTCTTTCTCCCACTCCCAGTCGGTGCAGGCAGTGCAGACCCTTGATTTGTCCCAGTTCCTGGACAGCAAATCCCAACTTAAGTCACGTAATATCCACTCCCATCACATCCCATTCACTTGAAAATGACCTTTCAGAACCCTCGACTTGGATGGTGCTCGCGTCGACTCACCCCCGTGCCGTGGCGACTCGCCGCGTGGCGACTCTCCCCAGCTGAGAAGCCAAAGTTGCTGCTCGGACCGGCGGTCTGGAACAAGTCAAGTTCACAGATCAGATCAGACGCGATGCATCGCGATGAAGACCACGGCATCGCGATGAAGTGGATTGAACAAAGCAAAAGCCTCAAAAGCTGTACGGTGTTTGATGCTTTTGGTATTGGAACCCTGTTTCGTTTCTGTTGTTTCTTTGGTGCATAAGCCGGTTTGCCAGAACTTCGGGGCAGAACTGCACCCAAGCGCCTTTCAGTCCACGGAGACCTTTCCGCCAACCGAACACACGGCACCGGAGACGGGACGACGTTCGGAGACCGTCGGTGAAGAAGTGTGAGAAGCGTGCGTCCAATGGCGCGTCATGGGAAGCAACCAATCTGAATGCGGCTTGGTTTTAGAGTTAAGATGAGTGTAGCACATTGTGAACATGGCTAGAAAGCTGTTGGACTCAACTTGATTGCTTTTTTGGACATGTTTTGATGGGCTGGTCCGGCTGGTCTATTTTGCAAAGCCCTCTTGATTACTACTTCCAGAGACTGTTGGAGCCGCTGGATCCAGGGCTTTAGTCCATCCTGTGTTTCCGATTTGGGGAGGCAACATCCTCCCTGAATCCGCCCTCCAAATGTGTTGCAGATGAGGTGGCAGATATCCTGGTTGGTTGAGGAAGCTTCAACTCAAAAATTGATCCATGAGGAATAAAACCAGTGGCAAAAGACAAGGCGTTTGGCTTGTCACCAGAACGCAAGTGAGTGCCGCACCCAGTCTATAGTCAACCCTTCTTAGAATGGCAATGCGCAGACACCCCTAGCTTGCATAGCCGCATAGCCTACAAATTACTGTAAATTGACGAATCGACATATACAACGCACCCATGCCGGCAAACTTGCACAAACAGGCACCTCTAATTTCCAAATGGCTGCCATGGCACAAGCATACCTTCGTTGACCAATGAGGTCTTTGGCTACATGGTGGTTTTGGGGCTCCAGGTTTTGACACCAATATTCCCCACTGGTGTGCAGCTGCAGGTGTTGATCCCAATATCGACGAGACCACCCCGACCATCCAACGCTGCGTATCTCCCCGAGGCTGTGGTGTGAAACGTGCCGAGCCCTTCGACTGCTGCGGCCCCAAGAGGGCCCAGCCAGTCGTTTCGCACCCGGGCGCGGGCGCGGCAGCGTGCTTTCTGGAGGCAGATGTGGAGCAGCGACAGTTGGAGACATGCGTGGGGTGCCGTTTCGGTGTGCATTCTTGGGGTGTTTGCTTTTCGGGCTTTGAGTGGTGCATCTATTGAAGTCTGAAGGATTACACCTTTTTGATCATGCCTAGGGCCTAGGGCAGGCCGCATTTCCACTAATTTTCTTCCAGGAGGGGTTCAGAGCGAAAGTTCTGCGAGACGAGGCTGGGACTTGACCTCATGCATCAACATTATAGTCACCAAATGGGGGGTGTTTGTTTGCTGAGAAACGCAAGCTCGGAATCTGTTGATCTCAAGGGCGGTGTGTGTCATCCGATTCCTTTACACCTACCGGTTAGCTCCGTGCAGAGCACAGAGCTGTTTCAACTGTGCGTCGGTTGATACAAAACTCCTCTCCACCCCTTGGGCCAAGCGCCCATTTCATACAACGGGGAAGGACGGGCTGGTATACCACTGACCTTGATTGGAACCACAGACCATATAGGAACAATCAAGGGGTATGTTATACATTGTTATACCCCTTTTATGCGATTTTATGCCAAATAATCTTTACATTCTGTACACTGCCCAAAAGTTAAGGTGGAAAATTGGAGTCATAGAATTACCTCCCACATTTGGTATATATACTTGTACAAAATATCATGTTACTAAGGTAATGCCAATCAAATCTCTTCATATGCCGCAAGCTTCGCACCCGCTTCGCCCCTCGCCGCAGGCGGAGCCCGACGAGCGAGGGTCGCCGCTCAGCGTCGAGCCATCGGAGCCACCGTCGCCGGCGCGGACGGACCGGAAGGGCAATCCCATCCTCCCCCGGGAGGCAGGGCGGTGCCCCCGTGATCCGGGCGAGTGTCGGGCACCGGAGAAGAGTGGTGTGTTTTTGGTAAGTCGATCCACAGAACGATGTTTTTTGTAATGTTCGGAGTTGTTTGGAGTGTTTTTTGGTTTATAGACATATAGATGGTTTAATTTGTTGAATAAGCATTTGTCAAGGCAAACCAAAGAATGCCAAACAAGATGCACGCTGGAAGAGTAGCATGGAACCTGAAAACCACTGGTTTGTGGAGGAAGCTAGTCTTCCAAAAAGGTATATATGTTCAGGTTCATGTTCCAGTGTACTGGTGCAGTGGTGGATGTTTTAAAGAAGTGGCTGGAAGTGTGACTGCTTAGCATTTGTAACCTGCATTTGAGTCCTTCATAGATCGGTTTTGGACATGCAGGAACTTGTGGACGGCAATGGGTAACCTAGAAGATGTTCCATTCACCGATCTTCTTGTGGATGTGGGTCATGTGGGTCTGTGAATTGCCCTATATAAGAGCAAGTCCAGTGTGCCAGGCCCCAAACAAAAGGACGAGCCCACAGATCCCACGCTCATCAAACGCACGTTTGTTGCACCTATCCCAATCCACAACCGCACGCCTAACCACACCTGTGGATGCTTCAGCCCTTGGGCCACCACCCGTCGCCACCTCTCCACCTCTCCATCCGCTGGCCAGTTGACGCCTAGCGGACTGACTCCGCATCACATTTCGATCCTTGGCGTTCGGAGTCGGACTCGCTCGGACCCTGACGGACGGTTGGGATCCCGGATCCGTTTGGATGGCCTCTGGCCTCGGGCCCGATGGCGGCATGACTGAAGCCACCCCAAAAACCGGCGACTGGCGACCCCGGACAAAGGCTGAAGGGAGGCTGAACAAACTGGATGCATGTCGTTGGAGCATCGAAAAAGAAAGAAAAACGGTCTCCAGAGGCCCTACTAGTGGGATCAATGATGATAAATCTCCATTCCAATTTTTGTCATTGGATGGGGGTTCTGCATTTCGTTGGGTGGTGTGTGCACAAAGTGTTGCTGGCACGCGATTTTATTCATGATCAGATTTTAGAGTTGTATTCTGTATTCTTTGTTGTTTTATCTCTGGGGGCTTCTCAATCTCCAGGATTGGTCATTTCGAAGGTTCTCAGCATGACTGCTCTTGGAGGTCATGAAACACCTCTGCAGACCCGAAAGAGTCTTGTTGTGAGTCTTCCTGGCGTCTTCGCATTCAAACAGAACCAAACAGAAGCATTCACGTCCTCAGCATGAAACCAAATGGAGGCGAACGACCGAAGTAGCATCCCGCAGCTTTGGAATGATGCGCGCAAGTGTCCGCCCGCAGCTTTCGTGCAGACAATCCAAGGTTTGCGGATGATGAAGGTGGACCAGTGGAGGACGTGTTTGATGAGTTGCGGACGAAACGCACACCTCCAAAACCAAAGAGTTTTCCAAGAGAAAGTGCACGCAACGCGGAAGCAAATGGGATTTGGATGGATTTGGGCTGAATGGGCTGACAATGTGGCCATCCAAATTCTATTTATAACACCCAAACCAAATGGCCACATGTTTTTTTCCCGGCATCTGTATGTTTTTATCTTTGCATGTTTTCTTTTGTGCAATGAATTCTGCTGTTCAGTGATTGTAGTAAAGGTTCTCTTTTTTAAACGGTGCAGAATATGATTCATCAAGCCAGAACTTCAGAAAGCAAATGGAGTCTATCTCCTATGCTGACCACCTTAAGTTTGGAGCAGTCCCACCTGGGTATGTTTTTGAATTATAGGGAGACGCCCTGGCCGTGGCTGGGTCGACAGACTGGTCGACTGGTCTGTTTCCCTTCCAGGTCTCCGTCCGTCTTGCGCCGCGCGAAGGCCTCCGTGGGCCGCGCCCCGCCAGGAGGTGGTCGAGGTCTTGGTTTCGCAGCCCTCGGCGACGGATCGCTTGGCGAACTCGTGGAAGGCCTTTCGAACGCATCGGGGCGTTCCAAAACGACCAGAGAGAGAGAGCGGGTGGAACAACGAGTGAGTCACGTGTCAGTGGTGCAATACATGTCTATATCCGCTGACCCTCCCAAAAAGATATATGGAAGTGGACAACCTACCTCCTGTTTGTAGGGGACAAGGGTTTTTCCAGGCGCCGAGGCAATGTTGCACAAGTACCTCGTTGATGCTAGGATCATCTTCCGACATGCTGCATGAAACAAAACTCTTCGTGGTAACGTGAAACCTTATTCGTCAGAGGGGAGTGTAGGTCGAAGTATGAATCGACAGATGTCGGTCGAGCTTGTTTTTTGTTTTTGCAGCCGCTCGGCCTCAGAATTCCATGATGTGTATTGAACTGTTGGGTATCGCCTCCTGCGGATCCCTGAACCATAGCACAACTCGCTCACATCAGGCAGCAGGAATCCCCGAGCAACATGATATCTATAAGATTTATCAATACCCTCCCACTGCCCATGGAAGTGGAGAATCCATGAGAACCCATGTTTTTTTTTCGGAAGGAATTCAATGGATTTCATGGTCTTTCCATCCATGCCACGGCCATGCCATTCACGGCTGCCACCATCCGCCTTGGTGTCGACCAGTCAGCCAGGCCCTCCAAAGCTCCTTTTGCCGCAAAGCCAAGGCGCCGATGTACCGGTACACCAGCTGAGATGATGGGCGAGCATTGATCATAGCAAGCATAGCATGGCAGGCATCGTGCAAGGTGGCATACAATCAGGTACTCGTAGAAGACCGTAGAAGTTGCAAAGTTGCTTGATCATATTGTATGGGCCCATGGGGGTGCCTCTTCAAATCCATGTCGAATTTGACTGTTCGGATGCACCCAGGACGGCGTCAAATAACTGAGCAGCCCCACCCGTGTAGTAGGAATTCGTTCAGAGTCAGAGCCATTGCAGCTGTTCAGCTGCAGGTGAGATCTTTTGTTTTTGATGTGTTTGGACTCGTTTTTTGCCACACCGCCCATTGTTTCAACCCTGTTTTCTGAACACGTTGCATTGTGCTACTGTTGAAACGACGTGTCAACCCTTTTATCCTTCTACCAGGGTCTTACCAATTGCCGGATATTTAAAGTACCGTGTTCATCCGTTTTCAGTTTTCAGTCCCAGCCTAGTAGCGCTCGGTGCATTCCTTATCCTCTTGATTCCCCAAGACCCTTGAGCAATTTTGTAGTTTTTTTTTTGCGCTTTTGAGTTCAACTGTTGCATGATTTAGTTGATGTCCAAATGGAAGTTGAAAGTGCCACCTGTTGTTTCAAAGATTGCTCAGATGCTAGTTGTTTCAAGAAATGTTTGGTTTGTTTGGTGCAGATGACGAAGATTTCGGCCCAGACTCAGCGTCCCTCCTTGATATCCCGGTTTTTGCACGGGATTTGAAATTCGTGTGAGCTTGTGTTTCAGGTGTTTTTGAGACCAGTGGGAACCAACATGCCATTCCAATTTTCTGTGGAAGTGGATGGCGAACCGAAGAAGATGAACTCCAAAAGCATTGAGTTTCCAAGTGAGTCAGAGTCTACTTCAATGCTTTGTTGGGTGCTTTTGATGCTCTTCAGAAAACACAAGCAGCGCACGCCGCTTCACTTTGACCCATCCGGAGATCCAAGATCTCTCGGAGATGGCCAAAATTGCTCAGGGCCCAGCATCCCAAGAGTTTTGGGGGTAGAGCTCTCTAAAGCACAATCGCCTGTTGGGTGCAGGGAATAGCCATGGGTGGAAGACTGATCGGAGATCATTTCAGCTTTATATAGATCTCTTCAACACAAAGAATGGAGCGCATTTGGGTAGCTACCGGCATGCTTTTGATCAACAATGCTTTGTCCCAACGGCCATTTGCAACCAACTTGCTTGTGCACTAGACCTGGGCGCTCGCTAGGCCCACCCAGATGTTTAGGGGCGCTCGGCTCAAAAGAACTCGGACTCGTTTTTTGGTCCAAGTTGCAGTCCCTGCGGATGAAGAAAGAATTCCGAAAACCACCGAATTCCTGCAGAAAAGCCGTGGTAGCTTTGTTGCCTCATCAGATTCTATCCACCAGTCTCCATCGATGGGGTGTCCTCGACCCTGGATGAAGCGTTTCAGGACGGTTTCGCCAAAGGCCCGACGGTTCACCGTGTCTTTCCCGGACACATTTGTTGGAAATGTTCCTCTACAGTAACAGTTATAACATGCTATAACAACATCTACACTCCCTTGAATTATCATGGACATATTCGCAACATGGATGCAAATTGTCATCCTTTCAGGGCCATACCATCCACTTTGTTGATGATTTCAGGGAGTGTAAAGCTACAATCTTCACAAGCACCCTAAAAAAGGAAGCGTTTCGTGTGAATGGAAAGAAGTTGGGAGAGAGATGGAGTGATCTTCGTGAAGTGGCGTCCATGCGTCACCGGTGCCTTTCATCCGTTGCTAGACTGGTTGAAGTAAGGAGAGCGAAGAGGCTCTCTAGAACGATGGACGTAGATGGACCGTGAGTGAAGCTGGCTCACGAGACCAGTCTTCTCAATCCTCACCTGTGGACTCCATGCAGTGGCTTGAGGGACATACCTGGGGTACAGGACCCAGGGAGTCCAAGACGACGCGCGTGGACCATCGTGGACCTGGTTGAAGTAAACTCCGTAGTAAAACAAGGGTGGCTTTGGATTCAGACTATTAAATCGCTGGTTGGAATCCTATTATGTACGTTATAATATATATATATATACCAGGACCGACACCAAGAGGTGTCTGTAAATAGCCTCTTAGAGGTGACCAGGAGGTGTCCAAAAACCACCGGACTTGGAAGGTCCTGGTATATACGCCTGATATAGTATTTGGTACCTATCACCTTGGTAGAACCCCACGGCCCGACCATTTGATGCCAGGTGCCAACTGCAGCGGTGACCCCAGCGGCTCCCGTGGCGCCTTCCGTGGCGCCTTCCGTTGAGCGGCCGGGAGTGGCTCGGTGAAACAAGGGGAGGCTCAGCCAGCTGAGCCTTCGAAAGGGGGATGTTTTTGCGAAGATGATGGAAGCTGAGAGCCTGAGAAGAAGAAAACCAAAATGAATTGCTTCAAGATGGTTCTCCAGAAGATGCTTCAAAGATGAATGAAGGTATACCGTGGTTTGATGTAGGTGCCCTGCACATTTTTGGGCATCGTCATTTGCTGATGCTTCTGTGATTAGGTTGAAGGAGATCACGAGACCTCCTGAGCGTATCCGAGAAGACCTGTGGGCTCAAGATATCTCACAATCATCTCATAATTGTTGCAATCAGCCTGCCTGAGATCTTTAGGTATCCTTGTTCAACAATTGTTGGAAGAATGGTGACAATTTAGATTAAATTTATTTATGTGATGCCTTTGCAGCTCCCTTCTTCGATTAAACCAGGCGCTCACCACAATAGCTGAAACCATCCCCCAAGGCAGCCTTTAAACAGCCGCAGTCGACTCAGGTCCACCGTTGTATGTTTGTTTCTCTTGATAAAAGTCACTGATCACCCTGTCGCTGTGTGCGCCACATATTCAAAGCAGTCTTTCGTGAGCGGTGAAACCGCATGTGAGGTTGATAGCCTGGACGCATACTTGCAGCAAAGGGAAAAGGCGGGCACGTGCGGCACACAAAAGACAAATGCTGAGGTGTGGGCTCATGTCAATCCTCCAGGGTTTGTTGACAAACCCCTTTTGAGTCGAGCGACGCACAGAGGACATCGCAACCGCTCACTGAAGCATGATCTCCAGATTTTCTCCTCGGAGGTTTCTCTACCGAACTGAACTAAGGCTCATGAATTCATATCAATCCCCTTTCCTGCCCAATTTCCAGCTATATAAACCTCAACATGTACCACACAAGGGAAAACAATGTCAACATCCCCGCGGAAATGAATCCTTTGCTGTGTGTGTGTGTGTTGGTTGTTCATTTGAAGTGTTTTGCACTGTTTACCACCTGAGTCGAAGAGGTCCAAGTTTTACTCACTGTTTTTGGTAGTTGCGAGGTGGAAAAAAACAAGCAGATCCAATGTACAGATGCTGAATCTACCATGACCTAACCAGTGTTGCCAGTTTTTCGTGTACATGTTTAGTCTTGGCTGCCACCAGCGGCCCACTACTGAACAAAACGGTTTGGAATGATCTTGATTCGATCTGGGAACCTCAAACTGTCCCCACACAAGCAACGCACTCACTAGAAATTGGTTGGCGAAGCTCCGCAGACACGTTTTTTACATGGCTGCTTGGATGCCATGTGGAAAAAGTGAAGGTTCCTGACACCCTAGCATGTGTTGGGCGCCTCAAAAGAAAGAAATAAATAAAGAAAGAGAGAGAGAGAGAGAGCATGGTCAACATGTTCGCCAACATGTTCAACACGACCTGACTCAGCACCAGACAGATTCTTTCTGTGAGGCGAGCGACATCGACCGCGCCGCCCGGGCGCACCCGCACCACGCACATGCGGTGCACGCGCCTCAAAGGGTTTGTGCTGTGGTGCTGCTTGTAGGGAACTGGGTGACCATCACCGGGCTGGCCCAGAAATGCAAGTGCGTGGTGACCACGTTACAGGATATCTTTTTTTTTGTGAGTTTGGCTTTCCAAAAGTCCACTAGGTGTGCCAGATCTGCAAGGAGAAGCCAGCAGTAAAACCACCATGTGCACAATCAAGATATCAAAAACACCTCTTCCTGGACGGATCGCATCGGTGCGTCCTCGGTGCCTTCGGTCCAAGCAGTTCGGTCGCTCCCCCCAACCGGAGCCAACACCTTTGGATGAGGCCACACACACATGCTGCCCATGCTCATGAACGACGGCGCAGAGAGGAGTCCGAAACGACGACGGCGAGTTCGTCGCGGTGAAATCAATGGGTGCAGGAATGGTGTTTTCCATGTGCAACATGTTTGTTTCATGGTGGACATGGGCAGAGCATTCTGCTGTTTTAAGGGAATCAGTCAAATATATCGAGGGGAGATGGGCAGACCGTGAAAGAAGGGCAGATCATGTTACAGGCTGAAGTTAGGCTTATGCGAATGAAGTGAGAATTAGGGCGTGTGTGGGGAGTTCGATGCGGAGGCCATTCTTGCGGAGTCCCAACCCCAAAAAAAGGGTCCAGCCAGCTGTGGTTTGAGGATGTGCTCCGCACACTTTTGAGATGCTTTTTGGGCCCATGGATTTAGATGCCAGATGCTGGCCTTCCCGCCCCACGTCAGGAAGGCAGTCATGGCAGCCACGCACCTTCACGGCCCTTGCCTCCGGTCGACAGAGGTCGCAAGTCCGCAAGTCATTGCAAATCGTTTTTCCTCACTGTATCGAGGTTTTGTGCCAAATCCACTCCACGAAGAGGGCAGGTTTGAATCATTTGAGTCCAGCATTTGCTTTGCTTCGGGCAGTTTAGCCACGCTCAGCCGTTTCCCAAAGAATCCAGACCTGCCACACCTGCCCCAGACCATCCATGTTTGTATGGTATCGCTGCACACACGCATACATTTACCCCATGTATGACCAATGTAAGTAGTTCATTTCGTACACGGGGTGTTTGGGTATGGTATTTGGTGGTGGCCAAAAGCTGCGAAAAACGTAGGTCCCCACGGCCATGCTTATGCCGCGCACATGCCAGCACGACCGCCGCCGGGGCCTCGGACCTTCGTTTTGGAGGTTGTTGGTTGTGGAATATGTGAAGAGGGGGGGCAGGTCGGCCATCAAATACAAACATTTATAGACCAGGTGTTATTCGTTTTCTATAGAATAATAATCAATGACGTTTCTTGACGCGGACGTGTTTCGATGCCGCGGTTTTTGCAGCTCAGAGATTGATTTTAGTTAGCAATGGCGTCTGAACTCATGGCCAATCCCGAACAGGACAGGGTTCGACTTGATCTTGCCAAGGTGACAAACATTCAATTCATCTCAAGATAAGTTTTGCGGCGTTTTCCATTTAACAGCATGTGGCCAGTTCGATTGGTGTGTTTATCAATTTACATTGTTGCGGTGAACATGAAAACATCAAAAACCAATGTCGGCCAACCGCGGTGCGTTATGGAGTTGTGTTGTTCCAGCAACACTGAACTGGTCACCGCCAGGAACAAGATGCCCTTCTGAGTGAACAACAAGACTCGGAAGCACTTCTTGCTCATCGGACGTGGCACTTCAAGCGTGCCTTGGATTGGGGATGTGGTTCCACCATGGCCTTTGATCGGTCTCAATGGGGGACTGAGGTGCACTCTATAGTTTGGAAACATATAAAAATTCACCCGGAATCATCAACGATTTGGAGAGTTACACAGATTTCAACATGCCTTTAACAAGAGTTTCGAATCATCACTTGCGCACAAAAGAACTGGAAGACTGGACTGACGAGGTGCTTGTTGTGTAGTTGGTCCATTCCGCCGCCGTTCTGTTTGACTGTTGATGGTGACCGGTGACCATCCACTCGAGGTTTAAGTGTTCTCTTTGCCACTTTGGCGGCTTGTGCGCTGGCGGCACTGGCGCTGGCCACGGAGCAGCCATTTGCCTTGCGTGGCAAGGAGTGTGTCGGTGCAGAAATTGTTTTGTGTTCTTTGTGACGGGAGGATTACTTACCCTTTGACTCGCTAACATGGAAGTGGAAAACCACCTGTTTGTAGTGGAAAATGGTCTTCCCTGGGGCCAGAACGTCCATTTCCATGTGAGTGAGAGGAGGATTACTTAGTAGCTTTGTGCTCGGCGGCATGTCCGGCCGCCTGAACGTCGCAAGATGTTGGGAGAGGACGGCGCCGATCGGATCGATCCGTGCCCGACGGGGGCGGATCGATCCGTGCCCGACGGTGTGCCCGAAGCGAGTCGGGTCCGCAGGTCTGACGTGGAAGACTTTGATCCGATCCCGATCATGGAAAACACCGATGTGTTCGGAACACACAGCACATGAGGCCCACATGGACCCTCAGAATGGCATCAAAGACCATGGCATCGCCTACCACCCAAGTGGTTCTTGGGGTTCCGTCCTGCAAGCGCATGATTTGAGCTGTGCTGAAACCGCTTGCAGGACGGCATTCAGTACAGCGATCCCATCGAGGCGGGACTTGGAGCGTGGTCGAACTCTTGGCGTCGGTTAGTGGGTTTGTTTTCTGGGTTAGTGGGAGCTTGTAGTTGGCTTGGTGGGTTTGGGTGAACGCAGCAAGGAACCATGTTCAAGACATGTTCACAGGAATTAATTCACAGCAGCTTATGAATCGGGGGGTCTAAGTTGCTTTCATCCTCATTTATCGTGACAGGACAGAGCAAATGGCTCAGAGGAAAAAAACGGTCTGAGCTGACATCCAGGAGCACTGATCCGTCCACAGGTGACCCTGCAACTTCCTGGAAGGACCAGACCGTCCGAACACGCCGTCCGAACGGCCGAAGCATGCCGAAGCGACCGACGGTCCAGGTGGATGTGGATGAGGCGACCAAAGAGTTCTCCACGCCACTCGCCATAGATGGAACGAAAAGAGTGGACTTCAATAATGCATCGTTTTTTCCTTCTTGGAAAGCTGATGTCGCTGGTTTCCTGTACTAGGTGAGAAAGGGAACATCCTTTAGGGACGTACCTTTCAACAAAAATTATGGACAAAACGGAGAAATGTACCAGAAGAGGACGACAAAGAATCTGGAGAAGACGTAAGACAGCGAGACAAACAACATGGTTCAAGTAAAAGCAAGCAGGCAGGCAGGCAAGCAGTCAATCATGCATCAATTACATGTACAGCCACCCACCTTACGGGCAAGAGCTTTCTCGCCAGACGCAGCCCACCCAGAGTTTAGACATGTTTAGACAGGCCGAAGAATAGTAGGTCGTGATTGCTTAGGTACTTGGACAGGTGATGAAAGGTGATTCCTTTGGATCTTGAATTGACTGTTTTGACAATGTTTGTTGTTGTAAGGTTTTTGGGCTGCCTGTATTCTTCGCACAAAAAACTGAAGATTTGCGTCCATAAATAGCTTGCAGGGTGACATCAAATGTCACTCCCAGTGGATACTGGTTTAGCCGTTCATGGTTGAAGCCAAAGGGTGACATTGTGGTGCAAGACCTGCTGTGGTGTTGCACTGCCTGGAAGTTTCATGCAGTCATGGTGCTCATAGAGAGAGAGAGAGAGAGTTGGACAAGTTCTATTGTTCAATTACATCTAGACGAGACAAACCCATTCATACATACCATGGCATGGTGACTTGTATTTTTCTACATGTTATACCATTTCCATACATACAAAGCACCTTTTTTCGTACCATTGCAGAGTGGCCAAGCGCTCGATCTCCTGCGCTGCAGCGGGATTCCAACGATTTTGGTGAAAGCTTCCGATACATCACCAGATGGTACAGTAGATGAGAGATGTGTTCTCTCGATTTGTATCATCCGGATACTCCCAAACCTCCAATGACTCGTGAACCACCCGCGTGATCACCGAGGTACTCCTATGACGCCCAGCCTGCGGGTGGTCTGATGTATTCCAATCACCAAACCCCCGTGACGGCCTATGGCTACAACACAGCGCCTGTTTCACCGAGCTACACCAGCTCTTCGACATCCAAGTCAGACCTTTGGATCGCACTGGATGGAGATGGGAGGGCATGGAAAGAAACTCAAACGCCTCAAGGAGATGATATCAGTGTCCCAAACTTGCCGCAGCGAGGAGGGTGACCGTGGAGGAAACGACCATCCAGTATTTTTGGGGGATGTTCGCCCAAGCGGCGGTGGCTGACATGATGAGCTATTTGAATACTCCTTTGTGCATACTATTGCTTAATGGATTTTTGTGTGGGAGGGGTCATTCTTCTTCTTTTTGAGTGGCTTGGAGGTCAGACAGGCGGCAAGAAGCTACAAGTCCAGTGTCTCCAGGTCCGAGGTTTTTTGAACAAATGATTGCCGTTGGTGCATCTATATTAAAGAGATGTTTTTCTATTTTTGGAGACTCAATGCTCCATGGCAAACATCCCCAAATCGTTCCAAGTTGGAGGGTTCTGAGATTCTTCGGTATGATAAGTTCTTGAGATTCATCCAACACCAGGTCTGTGCAAGATGCGACAAAACCTAAGGCAAGTCTATATTATTTCTATGGTGGGTAGTTGGATAATACTTAAACCCAACATAACTACCACTACTGCCAGCCTAAGTACCTGCTAAGCCGACTCTATGACTCGTATTTAGACCGTATTTAGACCAGAGATGAGTAGAGTTTGTGTTTATAAGTCAGTCCAGGACCGCCTTTTGGCTGTCTTTGACTGAACCGAGGCTTTAATCAAGAATCATGCAGTCATCAGGTAGGCAGAACCGATGGGACAGAAGTTACACATTTGAGTTCACTCAGATGTCTTTAGGGTTCAAATCCCAGAACCACACGGCGAACCATGGCTTTGGCTTCTCCATTCGCACACGGCTCCACCCTGCTGGACCGGCGAAACCGCCCGGCCGAAACCGGCGAAAGCGGCCCCCACCGAGGCTCGTTGCATCCTGTGCAACCCGTTCGGGGCCCCAGAGGACCGGACCGGTGGAGCCGAGTAGGTCGGTCATTCGTGGTGTGATATGGTTGTTTTAGGAGCTCTAGTAGTAGCTCTATAGTTCTTTCTTTTTGGGTTGGTTTAGTGGTTTTATGGCCAATTCGTGGTGGACCCAGATCTTGGTGGTTTAGAAGATCTTTAGTGGTGACCCAGATCTGTTGTTTTAACTGTAATGATTTGGCGAGTGTTGCCCTCCCTTTGGGGGCACCACTCCCTTTGGGCGTGCACCACTCGTGCTGCGATCCAACTGAGGAACCAGTGCACGCTGGACTTGACGGGAAAGGGTGCCTGGACCAGTTGTCCCGCGTCGCAGAAATACTTCTCGGAGGCGCATTGCAAGTGTGCATCTGGGCAGCAAGCTGTGCATCTGAGCAGGTAGCTAGGCCTTAGTACCAAGCTGTAGGTACCCTACGGTACTAGGCCTGCTAAGCTTAGTACCTGCTAAGATGCAAGCTGTGCATCGCAGAGTGGGGATGGGAGGGTTAGTGGCCGAAGATTGGAATGAAGAGAGAATCCGAATCCAAATGTGATTAATGGCCTACTTGTACGTACTAGTGAGCTCTATGAAATCGTTGGGATAAATATATGCAGGGTAAATTATGGTAAATTGATGATTAGAAATGATCATCACATTCCACTACATGTCAGGTGGGGAATGTTTTCTATCTCTCTTCCACATATATTTGCTTCATCACCAGGTCTAAACCGACGTGTTTTGCCATCAGGCAGACCATCATCATTCTCTATAAGTGTTGCGACTGCAACACCTCTTCCGGTTGTGTCTTTGTACAGTGAAGTGGCACCTCCAGCATCCGACCAGAGAACCTCTTCCGGGTGGCCCTCTCATTCCCGCTTCCACCCCCGGGCCCCCCCCCTTTTTTCTGGCTCTCAACCAGTCAGGCCCCCAATCCTCATCCAAACCGGGCCACCAAGACCGGCCGGAGACCGTTCTTCCGAGGTGAGCTCGTGCTCCTCCGATCCGTCGCCCATCGTGTCCTCCTGCAGCGACTTGGGCGTAGAAAAGGGGGCGGTACGGTCAGGCGGGAAGCTCGGCTCGGCTTCGTCTCAGACCCCAAGGCTTCGGCCGATGGGACGCTGAACACAGCCCTTTGGGATTCAGGCGTTCTGCACACAAAGACTCTTCCATAAGGCGCCTATGCAGAAGAGGGGCTCCAATGAAGCATGGTGCGTTTGATTCGGTGAACTCCTTGCTTGCTTCGAGCCAAGAAATGCCGGCAAGGGATTCAGACTAGAAGCAGGAAAGGACGTCCAAAGCCCCAGAGCAAGCTATGTTCCATAAACTACGTAGTTGTGTTGATCCTGCTGATTTAAGCCGTTAATTATACTTGTCATATCTTGTCATTTTTAGGCCATCAAAATCCTTGGAAGAATATATGGTTTTTCTAACTTCACCAGTAGATGCGGAGTTTGCCAACCAGTTCTTCCATCCGTGTTTTCCTGAGGTAGCAGGCCTGTGCGCAGTATGTCAAAGTTAGTGTTCATACTGTTCATATAGACGTTTTGAGATGGATGGAGCCAAAGCCAACCATTCCATTCAGGGTTATCAGAGTAAGTCAGCTCAGCATGGATGCTTCATGTTTCTATTCCCTAGGGCTCCAAGTGCCTCCTCAGTCGGTATTTGGACCCTCCAAACCTTCTTAGAAGGTACGACTGGAGCCCTAGGGATTTGCTAAAGCTTGAGATGTTTGGAAACCGTTGGACGCGGACGACATTTCGGGATTTTCTACGGACGACGTGACGCGCGCCACGTGACGAGGGCTTTGCCAGAACTGCTACACCAAGACCTGCAACATCGGAGGCGTGAGCTGACGTGAGATGTGACGCAGCTGGCTGTTGATTTCCAGCCCTTTCAAAGGAAGCCGTGGTGTGGACGTGCATGGACTTACGACAGTACGAGTTACCGTACGTTATTTATATAACATATACCATTGTAAGTACTAGTGACTAGGCATGGCTCACGGTTGAAGTTGATACTGGACCTGGAGATCTGAAGCAATTCGAGGTGGCAATTGTTTCAACTTTGCATGAACAAGCGAGTGTCCGATGGATGTTGGAGTGATTGTGTTCCGTATTTCAGGGGGCTCCAGAACTCTCCGTGTGGGGGGCAAGGCTGGCCCCTGCAGAGGACGACATGGAAGCCCAAAACCACTGGGTCGGTAGTAGAGGAAACTGGTCGAAACCATGATCTTCCACCGGATGCCATTTCTTCTCAGGTCCAATTCTGTATGACACAATTAACTACTTTATATAACATAGTTAAATCATTAAATAGAGACAACATAATTCATAATCCATTTTGTTTAAATAAGGTGCTTATTGTAGTGTTTTGTTTTACACTACTGTTGTAGTGTGGCACGTTGTTGTTCGTTTGGCATTTATGCTCAGATTTTTAGATCCAACAAATTGCTTGAACAATTGAATTTCGACAAATGGATATGTTCCACGGATTCTGAAGTATGTTCATTCAAACGTAAGGAATCAATTGGATCAATCAGAACACGTTGTAGAACGTATGGTTTGTTAGAAAGGTAGGTTTGTTGACAGACATGATAACATAATTTAACATATCTTTATCTAGAATCTAGAATGTTGTAATTAACTCAATCTTTAGGAATCAAATTTTTGAAGGCCGCATCAGCAAGATCAGATCCTCCGCAACCAATCGTGCTGATTTGTTGTACACTTTGGGGCGCACACGCTGCGTGTTTCTGGGTGCCATCTCAAAAGGAACTGTCAATCCTCTTCTGAGCTGTTTACATGGTTCTAGTTGGCTTTAGTAACTAACTTTAGTATATTTTAGGTTGTTTTAGTTTCTTTATTTGCATCCTTTTGAATTCATTTCCATATTCTGAGAAGAGCCAAGGGGCAGCAAACTGTTTTGATGAAGAGCTCCAAAAGTTTCAAGAAGCACTTGCGGACGCAAGGGCGGCCAATGAGAAAGAAGAGCAAGGGGGATGCAGCAAACTTGACCTTGGCCCAGCTGGTGAATAACTTTGATTACGTGCCGGAAGAAATCTTGCAGAAGCACCAGCTGCAAGACCTGGTAAAGCAATTGAGAGGGCTATGCCGGCTGCCAAAGGCACAGAAAAGGACATAATTTTTGGATAGACTGCAGGAGATCGCACCAACCGCAATGACAAAGCCAATGGAGAAGCAGACCGGTGCGATGCCAGCAGCTGTTGAGGCTAAGGAGCCAGAGGAGGAGTGTATGAGCTGACATAATCTAACAACCCTCACCCGACAGGTGGGGAACAAGCGTCCATGCTTCAAGGACCACACATCCATTCCTACAAGCCCCCAACCTCTTCCAGCGCTTCTTGGTAAGGCAATTGTCAACTCTCAGACTGAAGTGGAAATTGTGTGATGTGTCATCGATCGAAATCGACATCGCCCTTCGGAATGCCCACAAGGGGAGATCAATGAGTTTGCATAAACTTATTGCAAGTTATATATATATTACATAGAGCGTGCAACGCACAGGGCACAGAAGGTTGCCAATGGAGCCCGGAAGATTTGGGCGTTGCTTTCAGGCACTCACTGAAGTGGAGATGCATCGCGTCAATCGATTGTAGCGTTCTATAGGCGTGATGTAGGAGGAGTTATAATTTCTACTAGACTTCGCACGATCTTGTTGCCTGAGTGCTGCATTCCTTTCAAGACTCAAGTTTTCGCGCGCTACTTAAAGCGGTGTTCATTCCTGCATCCGCCTCAGACAATCGTTTGCATGTGTACAGTTTGACGTGGATGCTGTAGCGAGTTCATGTTGCATTATTGCGACCACTCAGTGGGCCATCAGGGCATCATGCCAGACGTCGGCTTCGCAGTTATTCCAGCACACAAACATACTTCACAGTTTGGTGGCTTGCTGTTCATGACTGCCATTCTGCATCACTCCAGGATTCTTCGGCTACGAGAGATTGAACCTGTGCTGGTTCTTCTGTGGCTACATTGGACTGTTGGGTTCTGGTTCTAAATGGGCTGTTTGCCTTTTCCTTTGCGCTTGAAGGCGTCTTTCCCTTAAAGCCTTTCTTGCCACCTTTCTTTCCCTTTTTGCCTTTTCCATAGAAACCAGAGTTGCCAGGGTACTCTGCATAATGCGCACCTGCACCTTTTCCGCGGCCTTTTCCTTTGCCGCCTTTGGATGGTTTTCTGAACCATCTACCATGCATTCTTTTTCGGGTGTATCATCCTTTTGCTTGCAACACCCAAAACTTGGATTCTGAGAACAAACTCACAATCCTTCTTCGCCTGCTTCCTGATCCAGCACCCAATATCCTCCAAATCCCCTTCATCTAAGACACGATGTGCTTGTTTGATGTTCTCGATGCGTTTGTTTCTGATCCTCGGCGTTCCTGTGGATCCTGAACTTGTTGAAGAAGCATGTATTGTTGCTGTGTCAAAATGTCAGCAAAGGCCAGGCGCTTCTGGAGCCAAAAGCAGCGCGGGGCCCACAGGGTTGGGTTCGGTTGAGGTGTTGAACCTTCTCCCAATGGAAAGATATGGCTCTTTTCCTGGCACCCTGCACCTTGGAACATTCATGAAAAACATTCACCAAAGCACTGACATAGACCTGGTAGATCAGGCGGCTACAATGAAATCGTTGGCCTCACCATGAGCCACAATGTGGCATTTTGAGTAAATCACATCACCCTCTAACTGTCCTAGAGAACCAAGTGGCAGTGAAGGGACGCATCCACATCAATCCGCCTTTGGGCTTCAAGACTCAACAGCGTTGTGCTTTCTCTACTTTTGGTGTCAGCCTTGTCTGACGCCCGAAATTGAACTCGAAGGCTTGCCAAGAAGCCCCAGGTGAGGTTCGCGACGTGTGAGTCCATCAATATCCGGAAATTAATGGGAGGTGAGCCTTGCTTTGAGGCATCCAGCGCTTGGAGTAGCGGTGCGGGAGCCCAACTGCGCGGATCCTGAGATTGATGGTTAAAACATCCTGAGGCAATCCCCCGCTGTCAGCCTGGCACAACCTCTCAGTGACCCCTACCACATCTACCCTAGAAGCATTAATTCGATCACAGTCAAACGAATGCAGAACCACATGTACGCAACACGGCTAATCAGCTGATTGAATGCTTTGTGCTAACCGTGTGAATGTAATAGGAGCGCCGCAGGGAAGTGCTGTCGTCCAGGTAAGTTCGGATGCATCAGGACTTGTGCCACAGACCCCTGTGTAAATTTTTGGTGACACTGTTTGAACAACAGGATTGCTCACACCCTGGAGACCAATTCACCAACCTATGGTCACACAGCTGAGCCAATTTGGCACAGCAATTGGTAGAAGCAGGGCTCAACATGGCCCAGCTTCGTGGTCACCTGCCTGAATCTTACCAGTGTTTCACTTGCAAGTCCTCAACCTCACCTTGCTTTTCTTATGTATTTTTGAAGCATGTTTAAGAAAAACCTTATGTAATTGTATGCTGTTTTTGAAGCATGTTTAAGAAAAACCTTATGTAATTGTATGCTGCTTATCCTGTTTCCGTGCTGTTGTCATGCTTGTGCAAAAAGTAGTTTAGTCGGAAATTTAGTTTTCTACCAAAATCAGTTTTCTATTTTTTTGAAAGCAATGGAAAACTACATGTATTACAAAAGGAGACTCAGGGTTGCAAGCGCTAGACTGGTAGAAAGTTGCTTTCGTGTTGCCCGTCAGAAGGAAGTGGCACCAATCGCCATCACGGTCTTAGCATCTAAATACTGTCCATCCGCAAGTCACGGACATGCGGTCACACGCGGTTGTTCGAGGCTACGTTGCCCCGGGCACCGGCAGGAAGTGGTGCTGGTACCCGATAAACGTAGATTGGGAGTAGGGCGACAAGATAGCTTTCGTTTGAATTGGTTGAGGATAAACGGTCAGATGTTGACAGCAAGGAAGAGCAAGAAGCGATCAAGTAGATATGTATATTTACATCTCAACAAACAGCTGGTTAGAATCTCATTTGCTTAAACAGCCGCCCAGTAAAAGGCGCGTGCGCGCACCAAAATTGAGATTCTGAGTGTCAGTTCCCGGGCGCCGCCATCATAGCATTGCCTTTTGTCAGCTGTCATTGTTTGATGCAAGCCCACCATGCTCCTTATGCAAGCCAGCAAGCTGATGACACAAACTGAATAATGAAGCGCCCTTACAATATGTTGATCGATTCACAAGTCCAAACGACAAATTTGCCGACGAAAACAGATCTGGAGGATTCCTCGTTCATTCAGGTTGCGTTGTTTTTGGTTGTTGTTCTCCAAATTGAATAATTGCCCGTTGTATGTTAAATTCTCTTCGTAAAAAACAAAAACGCTTTCAAACTGTTGAATGTGGGACCCTTTGTGACTTTACAACATTTTACAACCTTTTATCTGCAAAGGTCAGTAAAGTTCAAAGTACCTAAAGTCCTCTCAATGATCCTGAGGAGTAGGTAATAATTTTGTAACTATAACATAGGGTGGGTAAGAGGCTCAATTCCGACAGGAATGCTAAGCCAGGTGCTTTTGACTTGATGTTTGGATGGCTTACTGCTTTTTGAGCCCTTCCAGAGCATTCAGTGGTCAAGTGTTTGATGTCAGGCAAATACCTCAAATGTGGGTGCCTTGGCTCAACATGACCAAGCCCCCATCCTATCAAGGACCCAGCGTGTCTCCTTTGCAGTGCTGGGTTTGGGGCTGAAGTGGTTCTAGCTTGGAAGGAGGTGTCGGGAGGCATTCATGCCCCCGGGACACAGTTGTGAGAAGGTCACGCGTTGAATAAAATTGTCAAAGATCCATATGGGCCCCCATACCACTTCTAACTTAACTGTTGACCAAAAACCACCCAATTCTGAGCCAAGGTTGTGGGCATATACATGGTACTAGATGGTGCCCGGTACAGTGGAATATGTGTTGGTAACCAGCTGTTGGTAGGATTTTCTGAAAATTTGACATTCATATCCTGAAACATCCATCGAAACCGCATCAATCCCAAGGTCTGACAATGTTTTATCACTGTGCCATTTTCGATTGTAGGTGAAAAATTCCTATCCAAATCAAACAAATTCAATAATTGGATTTGCGTTAAGCTCAGGGGACTTATCTTCCACAATGTCAATATGTTCCCTTCAGGGACACACATGTTTTTTCTGACCATGAGGATGTGCCAGTCGATGTTTTCACCAAATGGAACCAGATGTCCCATGTGTTCCCGGTGTCCCATCGTGTTTTTCACGCCGAGAGTTATCGGGGTGTCCCACGCTCGTCGGCACCGATCTCGGCTTCGGCCGGCTGAAGACGAGCTCCGACCTGAGGGCGACCACACCTTATTGGGAACCCAACAAGCAGTCCCTTGGCGAAGTCGCATTTTTGTTCACGTTTTGGTGTAATCTTGGGAGCCCCAAGAATGTAACTGCCAGACGTGGATGGCATTGGTTTGTTTGGCCTTTGGATTCTATTAATCGAGTGGAGTGAAAGAATTCGTAGTGAGGAGAGTCCAGAAAATGCGAAGGCTTAGATTTCTGGGGTTGCAACTTCGCCAATACCAGATATTGCTCAAAACGATGAAGCCGCGGAAGGTTACAGACTTACAGAGCTTTAGGTGACAGAAACCTCCAAGTGTTTTATCGTTTTCAGAGAGGAGCGACGGCCAACCACCCTCCTCACGGACCTGCTTGGGGATGACCCATGGTTTCGACCAGGAGGAACTCCTCGACCCAGTGCAGTGGGTTTTGAGGTTCCATGTGGTCCTTTGCATGTGATCCGGGTGACGGTAGGTGTGCCTATCCGATCCGATGGGTCCAACTGGTCACACGTCCAGACAAGACACGGTGTAAAAAGAGACGAAAGGTGATGTGCTTCGCCCCGAATGGCTTTTGGAAGGGTGGAAGGTGAACAAAAAAACTCCTTTCATACATCCATAGGGGACATCAAGACATCAACTATCCTGAAAGCCAAACATCTCCCATTTTCATCCATTTTCTCGTTTTCGCTCTGACTGCGATAGCTATTCAGGACCTGCGCGAGCGCTTGTCAGCAGGGACCCAACGTGGCGCCCGCGCCCACACCGCGACTCAGCGAAAATGCAGTTCTACTCAGCGGCCCGTGATTCTCGCAGGAAGACCTGTAGGTCACCCTTGTTGGGGGAGGGATTGGGATGGATTGGGTACACCCCACAACTAAGAATACCACCGGTTTGGGAGGTTCGCAATCCCACCGCTAATCTCTTCCACCTATTAAAAAACACGGCCGCCCCCCCAAATAACAAAAACTCGGATGCCTTTTTAAATAGGGTGTCCCTGAAATGCGGGTGGTCCAAAATAGGGTCAGTGGGAGGATCCTTTTGAATAATCATTGATTAAATGCAGATTTCCTGCCAGAGCTTCAAAACCGAAAAGTCACCCAGGACAAAATGTGTATAAACTTAACATAACTTTTCTTAAACTCGTATCACAAATTGAAAAAGACTCCAGATCGAAGGGTCTTCCTATATTTTCCTTTTCCCTTGACAAACACCTTTATTAAAATAAATATTCTTCAATAGACTGACAACTAAAGCTTTTCGAGAGGTGATGTCGCTGTACCATGCCGTTTTGTGCGGCCTCGGTGGCAAGTGCGTTTGCGTGAGTCCGTGCCATTGGGGGAAGGAACACATGCTGGTGCAAATGCGGCGTGTCATGGTGGACAAACAGGGTCGACAGAGGTGGGCAGTCAGGGCTGCTCTTGGAACCGAATTTTAAAAACTACCACCAAAATCGACCATGTTGGTAGATTAGTAGCGGCTTGAAAGGGTGGCAATTTAAAAATAAATATACGCCGGAGTTAGGGCTCGGACATTGAGTTGTTTGATTGGGGAGTGCTTTTTAAGTAGGTACTCGGGATTAATTGGCTGGGGTCGAAGTGGCTTCTTGGAGTCGGAGACTTCAGCTTTCTGGTGGGTCAGCCAAGCGGTTGCGATTTGTTCGAGGCTTTGGAGGGAGTGATGATGACAACATATATTTTTATATGTCAAAAGCATATGATCAATGCGGAATGCATCACAAAGCACCACATGATTGGATTCTTTCTCATTCATACTCTTCAGGGTGTGGCAGTTACATGCATCCCCTTTCCGTGTGCAAACTCGAAGGATTTGTGGCTCAGGTACACCGTTCCCACCGTGGCACCCATGCAGTTCCTCAGCAGCACGTGAGTAGGTCAACGTGTTGTTTCTTTGGGTTGGGCCGTTAGACCAGCGGCTCAAGAAGCGCAAAGCAACTGTTTTGTTTTTTGGTCCCCTTCTTTTTGGACATATTTTTTCTGAGTGGTTTTGTCAGTTTTGGGAGAGGAACTGAAGGTCTTGGACATTTTTTTGCGGCAGCAAGGTGAAAAAACACAAAAACATACTTTGTGGAGATACTGGGGCGTCCAATGCAGCTAAGTCAAATGAGATCTCCAATATTGGAAATGGGCTGAGGGCTCCAGTCGTACCTCCTCAGAAGGTTTGACTGAACCCTCTAGAAACCATGTTTCCCAAACACCGCCTAATTAATTAAAGACGGTATTTGGAGCCCAAACGGGTCCGAGAAGGTCAGAGATTTGCTCCAAACTCCTCGACGACGAAACCAACTCCTCGACGGCAACTGGTCGCCATGTTTTGTTCGTGACAGCGCCGGGGAGGTCCTTTTGATGGCACATTCCAGGTCGAACGAAGAGGAACAAACCTCAATTGTTTTGACCAACAGGGTCACCAACGTCATATCCAGTCTTCCGAAGTTGGAACAATCTTGGTTTTTCCAATCAAACAGCTTGGAATTCATGGATGTTCATATATTGGTCATGTTGGTTGTTCATCCTTCTTTCCCACCTGCTTTGAGAAACCTCGGAGAAACACCGCAGCGCCAGACTTCCCACCGTCGCACCGCTGCCCCCGACGCCGACGCTGGCACCCTTGGCCACCGTGGCGCCCTTGAGCCCGACGGCGGCGCCCGCAGCGAAGTGTGGGCAGGACGAGAGACGTCGAATGCACCGAACAGGGCGCAGAACATGGAGAAACCATGGCACGATGGGCAGCACAACAAGATGGGTTGCTCCGTGGCACCCCATTTTTTGGCGGAATGCCATGGGAACACCACCGAGAAGCACTCTAAAACCTACGAAAACAGCCACCGTATGACCGTATGTGTTGTTTGTTTTGGTGTGGCCAGGAACAGGAATGATTCCACAACTACACGTCGTTTTTGAAACCATAGAAACATCGAGCCTGGTAGAGGAAACATTCTTCTCACGAACTCACTCTATAGTTGCCATTATGTCGGGAAGCGTATTTGTGTACCCTCCGAGAAGGTACCTTCCGGGGTTGTGAGGGTTGGTATCAGTGGAATTGCAAGACATGAGCCCACTATTTTAAGCCAGCGTGGCCACTTATAGCTGACTCCTTGGTTTAGGGTTACCCAAGAGATTCCCTTCTTAGGCAAGTGACAAGCCAACCGTCGCCTGCGCAAAAAGAACCGTTCAGCTGTTTCGCCTGCGCCACGGGGCGCGACGCACCGTTCAGCTGTTTCGCCTCGTGCCAGGACACGGGTGGACAGTGCAAGTGGATGGGTTGCTCTAGTTCTCGGGGCGCGACCTCCTGCAAGAGCGGCAAGTGCTTGTGCCCCTTGGTGGCCAAGAGCCGGAGTGGGAGTGGGCCGTGAACTGGGTTTTGTCACAAGACCAAAAGCATCCAAAAGCACATCAAGTGTATTTGAACGTAGAACAAGCCCAAAAACACATCATAAGTCTTGTGAAAGCCAGTCAACTTATGATGAAAGCCGTGAAAACAAACATTTTCCATCCAGTCAACAGGGGAAGATGGGAAGCGGTTGACGGTGAGACCATCAGACCCAACCGTCAGAGAACTGGGCGAGGGGGGAGGTGTGTTTGGGGTGCCAAAGAGAAGAAAAGCCGGTCCTTGGCCTTGTTTAGGTGTGCTGTGTCATGGTACAGATGCTTGGGCTTGACTGAGGTGGACCTGGCTATTGCAACAAGGATGGCAAGTGTATGAAGTATGCTGATTTCCAGAAGCAGGCTGAGGCGGAGAGGCCTGTGGGCAGGAAAACAGCAGAGGAGTTGGACATGTACAGACCTTTATTTATTTTTAAGTTCAATCGATCCACCTACATACAGAAGATGCTGAGAAACTTTGGTTGGGTGGGGTTCACATTCGACCTGCTCAGAATCCACTTGGATCATGTTCTCCCGAACAGAGCAATCGCAGATGATTAATTACTCAAGACTTCCCAGAGCCATATCTTCGGTGATAAATGCCACTAAGTGTCCACCCTTGCCAGTGTATGCTTTGGAGGCGGACACTGATATAAATCAAATGTAGTCAAGTATTTAAATTGGCACACTACTTCAGGAGCAAAAGAATGTGTTCTTCTTACCGGGTCTTATAACATCATACACTCATATCTATGTGGATCAGCCGTGGATCAGCCGTGGGACGGTCCATGATCACCCTCGTTGGTCACAGCTTTGGAGGGAGGAAGATCAACCCTGTGAGGCGACAAGGGTTCAGCGTCGACAGTGGTGTCCTCAATCGAGAAAGAGTTCTCAATTTGTAACCTTCAAGAAGAAGGTTGGTCCTAGTGGTGTAATGTGCTGTATAGCTGGTATACTCAATCCAGACCATGCCCAGTGTTGGATACACTTCCACACACTGCCCAACTGACACTTTCCTGTTTCGATGTGTTTCGCCTCACCTGCAGTCATAAGTGCGTCACGAACACTGGCGCGGGATCTCAGCGGAATGAGTTGGATGGCGGAATTGGTGGCCCCGTCGTACCCAACGAATCAACTCACCATACCGGGCTCCAGTCGTACCTCCTCAGGTTCGGTATGACTGGCGCCCTCCCCCAAACATCCATCACAAAGCCATGCTGTTCCTGACAACCTATGGTGGTTTCCCTCATCAAATGTTTCTTGAGCGGCCCTTCCAAGTGGTTAGAATGTGGTCAGATCATGCACGAAATCGCCCAGAACAAAACATGCTGCTCACAGAAATCGCCCGGGGGACCCTTTTGCCATCCAGTTGCGCCCTCGGACTACTTACCGATGAACGACATAGAAGTGGAGTAATGGGCCTCATGGGCCCCTGGATGACCATGAAATCCGAATACCAAACAGAAGTCTTTGTTCTACTTCCATGTGACATGCCGTGGAAATCGAAGAAGGGAAGCCGTTGGTGGAGCAAGACGTGTTTTAGAACCTGAAGTCTACTGTATATATAATTTCTTTGTGGTGCCAGTGCCTTATATAATAAGCTGCATTATAGTTGATCCACAGCAATAGAATCAGGTGAAATGTCTAGGTCTAAATCCATCAACAAACCCAACTTGCCAAGACACTCCTACCTTGACTGGTGAACCACCCAAAAAGACTTCCTTCAAAGGATTTGACTGAGCTTTGCTATATAGGCAAAAGGTGCATCTAATTAGTTGCACTGCTTCACACTTCTGGGGTGGCTAAGCCAGACCCGGCACCGACGACTCCACTTCTGACGCCGTCCACTCGACTCCCTCGATCCGCCCAGCTGTCTCCTGCCGATGGTCCGACTGCGATCGAAAGATGGGCCGCTCGCCGAGAGCGGAGCGGTCGTCGTCCCGACCGGATCCCGGGGGGACAGGGGGGGGGTCGAACGGGCCGTTCCGTGACTGTTCCACCGTGGAAGCAAGCAAGTCAAGATCACCCATTATTGACCTTCTTGGTCATCGGAGTGACCTTCTTGGCATCGAGCAATTCGGTGAACAGGGACCTATGTACACCTCATTCATCATATTGTCATTTTGTGATTGGTTCTTTGCCTTTTTGGTTGAGAAACGACCACTCGAGAACCAAAGGCCACTTTGGAAGAACACCATGGGGCCCCAAAGCTCGAGATCGGCGAGATCGATGAACACTGCCGATGATTCTGAAGATCTCTCAAGCGTGTGGCATGGGGGAGTGTCATCCTTAAAGATGTTTTCCTCCAAAGTGTATCCGCGCCAGTGTGGGTAGCAGGTTGTGTTCCTCTTTTGTGGTGGTCCTGGACTGGTGTGGTTGCCGCTTCCATTTTTGACGACAAAGTCTTGGGAATTTTGCTCCTGTTACCTGGACTTGGGACATCAAAAAACTGGTTTCTGTTTATAATTGATATCATACCAGCACCTCCAACATGTAAATTTAAATCTGTATTCGGGCCCTAACAACCCTCCAAAGGGTTGGAAGGTGCTTGGGCCCATTCCCATTGCCCGGGCGCAGTGGATGGGGCTTGGTTGCAGGTCGACATCTCTCAAAAGTAGTGCATGTTCGGACACCCCCAAGATCCCCCGATGTGTTCTCGTGGGGACAGGACATTCGTACTTCACAGAAGTCAATGTCTAGTTCCTGAGACCCGGACGTGTAGATCTTGAAACCATCCATTTAGCGGGTAAAACATGCGAGGGAAAAGAATGAACAAATCCACCTTGTTCGAGAAGGAGACCACAAAAACCTTAGCTCTGTTGAGAAAAAACACAAGACGACTTGTCCACAAAAACCTCAGCTCTGTTGAGTTGATTCCTTGGCCGCATGGGGCCGTCATCCAAATCATTGCACGGATCGACGAGACTCGAGACCTTTCGGGGATGTCGTGACGATGAGCACAGCACATCCTTCGACAGCACCACCAGCACCACCCGCAATCGACTGGGTGGTGATTGGATGAAAAAGCATATTCCAGGACCTGAGCCGTACGTGATCTATTTGGAGTCTCTGTTTGTGACCTCTTTAGGGGCGATTCGTGACCTCATTCTAGGATCTCATTCTAGGTCACTTTGAAGGTCCTGGTTCAGGGGAAAACATATCGACCACCCTTTTGGAGACCTCCCTATCCTCCCTGCTTTGAGCGTGGACGATGCTTGAGTCCTGCCGGTGTTCTCGGCCCGAGACCCTGAGGACTCACCATGTGCGACAGCCTGACGGCAGGACATGGCAGCTACAAGTGCCTTTGCAAGAAACACTACTGCAGCTCGGCCACCAAAAATCGGGACTTCAATCCAAAGGAGCCCTTGGCAAAGGGGAACGAATCCGTAAGCATTATTACTGCATGTATTTGTATTTGACATGCTTGAAGTGCTTTTGGATCCACTTTGATTTCTGGCCGCTACCCACACGACCGTCGGGCTTTTCCAAGCTGGTTTCCAGAGACTTGGCGAAGCCGACATTTGTCTCGAGACGTACGGGCACTGCAAAGTTCATCACGCCAACAGAGGTTGAAGAACCCGAGTTTGGACTATCCGGTACCTCCTGGTGACGGGTCCAAGGTCACATAAGGTCGCTTGCTACTTCTCGGAAGGTGAGTTGGATGTTCTTCCTGTCGGACCTGTCGTTTGCTATTGCCATCCACCTGAGTATGCTTGCTTCAATCAAGACTGGCCGAAAAGGACTACTGTAAGTACTACTGTCGTTGGACCCAGGACTTAGGAAGCCCCCGGCCCCAGTAACATTCCAAGAGTTCTACAATTCCAGTAGGGACCCGTAACCATCACCCAATTACTTGCATCGAGGTCCCTGGGAGTTTCGGGAAAAACTGTCAGATGCATACAATGCAGCTTTTTCCAGCTGAATGCAACACATTGGCTGAACATCCCTAAGTCATCATAAATCCCTGCCAGATTCTTCCAAACAATGCATATTAATGCAACTTCTCCCAACAGACGCAACAGAATATAACAGAATGCCTGCCGGACAAAAATCAATTCCGAGCAGCTCCCTTTCCCGTGCTTTCCCGATCCTGGTCTCCTCGATGGGTTTCCTGGGGACCGAGGCTGGGATTCCTTGACCAAGCACTGCGTTCGTCAGTGACGAGAACTCTGAGAGCGAATTCCAGGGACCGGGCCAGGTACGGAGCACGGAGCACTTCGAGGTATTTTCTGGTTGGGAGACTTCAAGGATCTTAATTCAAGAATTTTATAACATTTTATAACTATATACATGTTTTTTCTAGTTCTATTTTTCGGACCATCTCAACGTTTAAAGGATCCTAAATCATACCAAATCAGTGCTTTTCTCGGGCCTTGGACTGATGCCCATCCGCTGGGACACTGCAAAGCCTGTCCCCAGCGATTCCTTTGAAGAACGTCCCGCGCGCCGTGATCGAAGAACATCCGGCGGTCAAAGAGCTCGAAGAACTGCCAGACGGGTGGGTCCCAAGTTTGGTGGGTCGTTTTTCCGGGTTTCAAAACCCTAACCCCTAAAAACCTTAGGGTTTCAAAGCCCTGGCTTTGGACATGAGAGGAGAAGCTGACAGTGGGCCAAATGGAGGAGCTGAAGCTGTCGCTGGAGAGCGCAAGGAAGAATTTCTTTTGAGTGGAGAAGTTGAGGGTTCCATCGTGCTGGGTCTTGGAGATCGGCTAAAAATCAATTAAACGCCTTGAACCCTGCCGGCCCAGCCCGTTTCATGCGATCTTCATAGGCTTCAAAAGGCGGCTGGAGCCTTTTGTTGTTGCAGAAGATTGCCGTGTATATGCCCTCAACAGAACTTCCTGCATCTTTGACAGAGGTCGCGCCACTCTTCACAAATCTATATATTTATACATGTGTTGTGTTTCATAGTCTTTGGAAAGGCTGTTGAACTTGTAGATGCTTATGATTCTACATCAAGCCTAGATGAGTTTGGATGCATGCTTGAAGTTCAAACACAGGTTGCCCAATAAGTTTTGTTTGACATTGTTTGTACATGGCAGCTATTTTAAGACCATGGCACTTCAACAGACACACACACACACACTAACAACATATCACAGGAAAGAAAGGACTTGATGTTCGAAACAGAGAAACACAGTAATTCAGAGGAAAACAAACAAGTTTGACCCTTACATGCTCCAATAGACCAAGAACCCACACAAGTATTCTCTTTCTTCCTTGCAGGCCTGCCCGGCGACCCCGTCATGAGGCGAGGGCGGGGTGGGACAACACTGCAGAACTCCTGGGATGGGAGGGAGACCAGGAAGTACGTAGATCGGCTCGGGAGAACCCCGAGACTTGGAGAACCCCGTTCAAACGCACCAGGCGGGAAAAGGTTTGCCCTTGTTTGGGCTCAGGAGTCCAATGATGCTGGGATTGCGAGAAAAAGATCGACAACATAATCCCCAACATGGCCAAGAGCCTGGGGAATGGGCATCCTGTGGAATCATGTTTGGTCTCTTTCGGGGCCTTTTGTATTTGCTCAATTAGCTTGGGTTCCAAGCCCAGAGCTTGGATTGACCAACAACCCTGGATATGACCCTTCAGATACATCTTTGGCTTGACCAAGTCATTGATGTTTGATCTACTTCAGGCGGATGATCAATCTTGCTTTGCAAGGACGGTGTGTTACCTTGACGGTTGCTTCGAGACTGAAGCAGTCCACAAGGAACTCGAAAGGCGAACACCAGCATTGAAGACTTTTTTGAATCAGACCAAACTGGGAGAGCTCTCCGAGCTTCGTAAAACGCAGGCGACAGGTCAAGTTCTGTTGTTCCACCAAGAAGAACCTCCTCAAACGAAGAGCTAAGACCCCGTTAGGCACTGCGGCAGTCGTCACTGTTGTCACTGTCGCTCTTGCCAGGTCTTGGAGAGAGAGAAGGCTGAAGCAGGTGCTGAACCAACTGTCCGGCTGTGGAGAAGCGGTTTCAGTTCCGGTGGCAACACCTGGGGCGAGAGAGAAGCAGTTCACCTGTTTTTGCGTGCACAGAAGACAGAGCACCTGTGTTTGATTGTTTTTGGTTGCAGACACTCTATTGGTCGAACATCTATTGGTCGTTTTTTGCGGTTTTTTGATGTTCTGTGTCACATTTGATTTGCCACTGCAGTAGAACAGCGCGATACATTGATTACCAGCACGCCCCTCACATCCCTTTGGGTGCCAAGGTTTCTAGGGCTTTAGGGTGTTGATCTCGTTCTCTCGGAATCCCCTGTGCTTCAGGATGAACCACGGAGCAAATATCTTCGTTTCATCCTGGAGACTTCATCGTTTCTCGGAATTGACCATCGTTTCAATTGGGGCTTCAGCATTAATTTGGATAGATCATTCGGAATCCTTTGTGGTCTTCTCAAGACACCTCCTTCGTTTCGTGAAAGATCTTTTCTCCTGCTAGCACCGGGAAAGCACTGGCTCTTCGCCAGGTCGCCGCAAGAGATCGATCGTGAGATTGTTTTGATGCTGAAAATATCCATGTGGATCGAGTTGGAGATTCGAGTTGATGACTGTTTTCAAAGTTCGACATGGAAGATTGTCCAAAAGACTGGTCGATTCACTCAAGATCTAGTTAATCTATAGCTTGGAAGCCTTGTGCTATCCGATTTTGCTGGTTGACACCACAGAACTCGGACCGCATGCCCTGTTTTGTTGGATGCATAATTTTTGTTCGCGGCATTATCAGGGATTGCTGAGAGATGGGCTGCTTCCAGATCTAAGATAATGTAAGGCATCACGGTGCGACAGCAGTTGATAGTGCATAGAGGTTCCCATAGATTCCCATAGCCCCATAGGTTTTATATGGTCAAAAAGGTCCAGATCTTGCTCCTAAGACCTTGCGGCAGTCTCAGCGTATCACAGTTTCAAATCTTGGTAGCAGCACAAGTTTAAATCCAGCAACCCCTGAGAAGGACTGCAAGACGCCTGTTGGTCTGGATCAGATTTGGCGTAACGCACATGTCTCCCGCGACTGTATCATCGTGGCATATCGTGCTGAGAGTTCAGCGGTCCTAGTTGCAGGCCTCATGCGAGGTTGTCCATCAGTTGAGTTGAATAGTTGAGCAATGGCCACATGATACTGCGTTCACCTGGCTCCTTTGATGATATGTGATGTTTCGGTATGTTTCCTATGCAAAGTCATACGTAAGTGCAAGATAGTGCAAGCCAGACAACATACTATGACGTATAACAACATCGTTTGAAGTTTGGTTATAGCGACTCACAGGGACAAACCAACTTCAAAAGAGTTGATTTGTGATATTCTGTGATGATACGAATGAATCTTCAGGCTGAAAGTAGCAAAGCCAGGGCGTGTGGCAACCATGCAACATGCTTAATGGATTATGGCGTAGCGGTGCAGGGATTACTAGTGTAAATGCTCTAACATGGTTCCGACTTGTGTGGGTTAACAACGGTGAAAAGAAGTTTGTCGGTCCATCGAGCTCAAGTAGATCGGTCGGAAGGGCTGATTCATAATCACCTCATGTGGCTCAAGCACCTCATCTGTTTAGATCCACATCTACCTCAAGTGTGCCCGAACTCTGTGGCTCGGAATCTGTCGGAATCCCTTGCTTTGGATCGGGTGATGGTGATGGTGTTCTTCCTAACTGGGTGAATTCGCCGTACCTGGGTGCCCGGTTTAGAGCTGCAAATCCTGGTGGGTCAAAGGGTAGACCTGAGAGCGGTCGTTGATAGGCAGCGGTCGCTAGGGCTGACATACCATGACAGATGCCAGGAATAGCAGTAGCTTATTACTCTAGTCCATCATTTATAGCATTTTTGGTAGCCACAAGTAGTGCCACAAGTATGATGCGTTTGAAGTACCTGGAAAGTAGGTGTTTGTTGCGTGTTATGCTGCAAAATTCATTGCAAGGTTACAATTATGATGTTGAGGAACCATTTCTATTTGCAATGCGGTGCTTTCTGTTCGCCTGCAGAACTTGCTCAAAACTGGACCTCCCTAGAAAAGCTGCCTGCTCGGCAGGTGAAAGGAATGCCTGCTAGGTCCGGCCAGGTTGGTTTTAGCACCTGGAACTTCAGCACAGAGGTGGATCAAAATGGATCAAAGAATGGCTTGAATGAGGCAAAAGATTTGTCCAAGCCCCAAAGCACTTCTTTTTTTGGCTGCACGCGATGCATGCCAGCACAAGCTTGAGCTTTCGCCCCAAAGCTGAAGTGCTGAGGTTGTTTCACAGACAAAAATCCGTGAAAGCTGCTGCCACCAGAAGTTCTACCATAACCTGTGGAGGGAAAGGTAAAGAGGAGTAGATGCCCAGGGGAAGTTGGAAAGATGAACTGTGAAAGATCATGCAATTTGGTTGATTCAGACTCGAAAACCACATCCTTGCTGATTACTTGACAGAACCTCACATGATTCCCGCTCACACGACTTCTGCGACTCCTATGTCCGAACGTTTGCGAGAGCAGGAGTCAATGCATGGGTTTAAGGGAAAATCTGCAGGAATCAGGATCGAAAGGTTTGTTTTCACCCCAAAACTCTGGGTTTCCTGGGAGACATTCCCTTAAAACCGATTCTGAAAAAAAGAGACCATATTGTTTTTGGTTCGGATTGAAGAGTCTCCCTGCAGCTTCGATGGCCATCACCTATACTACGTACAGCTATTCAGAGTTTAGCTTCAAACAGTTCAAAGCTATTGCCTTCATAAGCAGCTTCAAAGCAAACATGTCATTTGACGCGGGTTCTGACTGAATTTGATCGCAGCGAGGGCCATTTTCAGATTGAAGTGACGTTCGAAGTGACATTGTTCATCATTGTTGTCTCAATTACATCATCTACAAGCCTTGCAAGCCATGAAACCTCCTTGTCAGGTGATTCTACTGCTTGGGAAAGCCACAAATCAATACCTTAGGCTTGACTCAGTCTTGGACCGCTGCCGTATTCGTCCAACCAGCTTGCAACTTTGTTGCAAGCTCAGATGGACAACAAACATGATCAAGAGGCAACTGGGGGTGGTTCGAAAGCCTCACCCAGTGCATTTGGTCCGGGTATTAAAACAGGGAGACCTCCTAACGACCCCCTCGCAGAAGGAACAAAGACCAGAACCCATCTGATCATCGTCAACCAGGGTTCAACGACCAGCTGAGTGGACTCCAGCTGCGCAGCATAGACGACATTGTTTCACCAACGCAGAGGGAAGTTCACCACCCACAGGTTCTTCCAGAGGTCAAGAAACATCAAGAAACCCATGTCCAGCCCATAAATCCGCCATAAATCCGCGTGGCCAACCAGTCCCATTCACTGAGACGAGGTGGCCAACTGGAGACATATACTTGGGGATGGGTCAAAACCTGGGGCCCCAACACCATGTAGCTTGACCTTCCACAAAGGTCAACGGATGTCTCCTGGTTTTGACCCCACAGCCACTTCAGTCACCGCATGTCACAGCGATGTCATCCCCCAGATTCCCCGAGGCCGACGACGGGACCCACCGGACCCACTCCTCTCCACTACGAAGACACACGTCAACGTCACGCGAACGACGCGTCGTTCACGCGACCAACGGGACGGTGAAAGGCGAAAGATGAAGGTTTTAGTTGGAACAACGGAAGGTGTTTAAATAGAAAGGCCGTTGGTATTGCTTCATGGTTCCACAAGTGGATGCAGCGGTTGGTTTACTCTGAAAACGTGCATTTTAACATATACAGTACTTGCTTCATTGCGCCGTAGACCTCCTTGCCGTTCACGGCAACTCCTTGGCCGCACACCGGTCACTCGTGTACCAACCCGCCCTCGCCATGCCGCGAGAGCGAAGGCGCGCCGGACCACGGTATCCGACCGGTGACCAGGGGAGGTGTGAGCAACGACTCAAGACAGGGGGTGGAACTGGACGCTTGGAGCGTTTGGCCGGTCGATGTTTCATGATTGTTCCTTACTTGTACTTTGCCAGTGTTGGGTTCAAGGACCATCTACATCTACAGGAACCCATCGTTCTGGGACCGATGCCTTCCTTGAAAGGGACGAGAAGGGGATGTCAATGGATTTCAGAGTTCATCCACCATCCTCCACAGGTGATGCATAGAGTTGGTACTCGCATCTTTCAGACCGTACTCGCATCTTTCTACTCGCGACTTGGAGCTTGTTTCTGACTCGGTACATCGGTTGGGATGGTGAAAAGAACTTTGCCAACGTTTACACGTATGTACAGGTAGTGATTTTGAGAGACTTTGGGTTCATCCCTATAATGAGTGAGTATGCTAAAGTCATCTACAGTCGCTGCCTGACCCATGCCAGAGAATCCGATTATATTTGACTACACACATCACCCTTCCTTGCACCTCACCGCAAGTACTCCTCCTTGAATGTTAATTTTATTCTACAGTCAGCAGAGCATGTAGACCTACTGTTGGTGAAGGTCCAGCATGGAAGTTGAGCCGCCACGACACGAACCCTGCCGGCCGGAGGCACCTGACCTCCGCATCACGCTGGAAGGTTGCGGGAGCGGGCCAGGGCGGGCCAGGGCGGGAGCGGGCCAGACACCTCTTGGTGTGCTGCTAAGGTTTTAGGGTTTTAGGCTGGAAGCTTCGAGGTTTTAGGCTTTTGCTGTTAAGGTGTTAGGGTTTTAGGCTAGAAGCTTCGAGGTTTTAGGCTTTTGCTGTTAAGGTTTTAGGGTTTAAGGCTGGGAGCTGCATGGTTTTACCCTCTTTAGCTTACAGGTTTTAGGCCTCAAAGGGGCCTGGGCCACGATTTGGCCGCCAAGCCTAAAACCAGCAATACGTTTAATAATGAAATCGACCAAAAATTTGAGGCTGTCAAACTCTAGTTTTCCAGGCTCGCTACCAGGACCGACACCAAGAGGTGTCTGTAAATAGCCTCTTAGAGGTTTAGGAGGTGTCCCAAAACCACCGGACTTGGAAGGTCCTGGTATTTGGTTGGTGTAAAATGCAAACTGTCAACCCCTAAGAATCAAGGATCTAAGAATCAAGTGAAGGTTTTGAGGCGTCCTGTCCTAGGAAGTTGGTAATCTGCTTGCCAACTTTCCTGAAGCATCCTCATCCCGCCTGCAAATCTATTCCAGGCTTCTACACTGTATTTTCGGGTATATAATTCTACGGCTGGATTTCCAACAGTTCTTTTGGACCTCAAAGTCAATAGAAGTGAAACTGAACTGAACTCCTGTGACCTAAACAGACACCTGGTACACTGAACTCCTTCCGTGTGACCTGAACACCTTCTGTGTGCGGTTTGGACCCTTCCAGAAAAAAAGAAAAAACGGCTCGAAAGGGGGCCGGGGATGGCAGTACAATCCACCTCCAGTTACTCAGAGCGTTTCGTGTTTTGCTCGGCGAATCTGAGTAACTTCAGCCCATATGATCAAACAATGAGGGGGAGGCCAATTCACAGGACATGTGCAGATCATCACCATCACCGATCTGCACATGTCCTTAGTACCGATTCTCCGGACCAGGTGGGACTCCTCGGGCTCGTGCTGTGCAGCTTGACCAACCGTGGCCGTCCGGGCGGGAACAGCGTGGGTCCTCACCGATCACCGGAACCGCGAGGGCGTTCGGGGGGAGGCTCGCCGCCCTCTCCTGGCTCGGAACTCCTATCGAGATGGACGGTCCAAACGAACGAACGAACGAACAGAAACACTGCGAGTCGCTCAGCTCAGCTCAACTTCGCTCTCATGTTGCTCATGTCACATATTAGGGTTACGGAATCAGCCGCCTATAATGGTCTATAGTATATAGTCTCTTAGATGTCTATAGTGTTACATAATCATGTTGTTTTTTCCGCATCATGATCCAGTCATGAACGCTCCAGTTTCACCACTAGCTGTTTTTCTTCAGTCAAAATCTGCAATACCTGATCGAGCTTTGACTTTTGCCTCTGCTTTGTGAAGTCAACATGTTTGTTTCTGTCATTTTTGTCAGTAGGGCTCCAGTTGTACCTCCTCAGAATGTAATTGGACACTCTAAACCCTTTCCAAGCACCTTCTAGGAAAGTACTTGTATCTATATATAGGATATTATAGGATATAACACCTTTTGAAGATTCTTGACGTTTTGTCCTAGTCAGTAAACTTGACATTTGAAAACCAATTGTGCTAGAAACATCTAGAAACCTCTTGGAACCTCTTTTGCCGTTCCGGGGGCGCGCGCGCGCGCCTAATTGGAGCGTCTCTCTCGCAGGGTCACAAGAGTTGCTTCATCAAGTAGTCGTCCTCCGCTGCCATGGAGGTCTTTTGAAGGAAAACATGACATGTGTCTGTCTGCAATGTTTCTTCTCATATCTTTGGACTTTTTTGACAAGTGTCCAGTGTCCCTCCAACACCTGAGCACGAAAAGAAGTTTTACAGCGGATGATTTTGGGGGGGGTGCACCTGAAAAAAAAAAAAAAAACAAAAAACAACGTGTTCTGGGCTCCAGGTATATCATGAATTTGATCGTCGCACCACACAATGAGTGTTGATCGTCGCACATGTGGGTGTGTAGCTCAAATAGGAAGACCTCCCAGGCAACGAAAACCCCCTGGAAGAAGGACAATGGACCATGAAACACCCATTGATTGGGTGTCACCCAACTCACAGTACCCTGGATGAAGCAGCCACTCAACCCTTCAGCGCCTCGGTTGGTCTCAACCCGAAAGAAGCCCAGCCACCCGACCCGCGCGCAAGAGTCGCGAGTCGCTCTCCCGGTCGTCGAAGCTCGAGGCGCTCCGGTGGGGCCCAACTTCTTCACCTTCGACGAGTCCAAACCGAAAGACCCTGGGAGGCGAGGTTCGAACCGCTCCGTGCGCGTGGGTCTGGTAGAGCTGGGAGGAAGGATCGATTTGGAGAGATGCGATCCAATCAACAGATTGTGTGACATGTCTGTTGGTTGCAGATTGAAACGGGTTCCCAAACGCTCCAGTTGGTTGGTGGCATATAACAGGGATCTTAGTGCGGGCATCTCGGACTCTGTCCGGTCCCGTGGCATGTTCGCGTAGACGCATGCAGGTTTTCACCCACAAGATCCCACAAGTGTTTGGGGGTGTGATGGAGAGCCGATCCAAAAGGGCGACATCGATATTTGGCCTTTCATGTGCCCGTGATCTCGTTATGTGCTGTCAACATCTTTCAACCACTCCCTGCACAATTCACACGGCGTGACGTGCCCAGCTGCAAGAAAGACACCAATCGCCGGCTCCACGGCACCCGAGAATAGGTGTCTTGCTTCGGTGTGTTTGGCTATGTTGGCTTCATATTGTATGGTTCAAAACGAACACCAGGGAACTGGGACAGGGAACTGGAGGCAGCAAACTGGGGACAGGGAACTGGGGACACAAACAGCCACAAAGACCATCGCGACAGATCCGCGGATCACATGAGATGCCTGGTCCACAGGCCTCAGGTCGCCAGCTCGACGGCCGGTCACCCCGACCGACGCCGTTGGTTCCTCGAAAGGGTTTGATTCGTTCGACGAGGCGTGAGCTGCGACATGAGTTCAGTGGCGTTGGAGAAGAGAGGTGCGGAAATCCCTGCAGAGAGGGGGGGGAAGGGGTGAGGCAGATGGGCCCTTTTCTTTTTGGATCTTGGATAGGGCGCTGCGGAAGGTGGAAGGTGGGCCTTGAGATGCTTTGTTTTCATTTGGACCCCCAAAGATGTGGTGCTGAGAGGTCGTTCCGATCAAGGGCCACCTCGACATGGGACCTTGCGAATGTTGGGGCGTTCGTTCTCGGAAGAAATCAGAACCTCCTAAATACTCAGTGTTGAAGAGGACCTATTTGTTTGAAGTGAGGACAGCGAGGGATTGTTCTTTTCGTTCACATGTGTACATGGTGCTGTTCTAAGGGTCTCCTTTTTGGAGTAGCTGAAATGTGGTGCTCCCTCGGAAAAAAAAAGAAGTGTGATCTTTCAGGCCTATGACCATCATAAAGCATCCTTTCTTGCAGCATTGCATGAACTGTTTGGGCATTGCATGAACTGTTTGGGGACTCTGGACACATTTGGACACGATTTTGGGATGACATCACCTCCTAGACTCTTAGCTCCACCTAGACTCTTGGTGATGCTCCCAGAAGTCTTAGCGATCCCTCAACGTCAGGCTCCTCTTGCCGCTCTCCTGCGGTGGTACCTTGTCAGTGCGTGGCTACGAGGCATCTGAACAACAGGCGAGGTCCTCAATGATTTGAGAGAGAACCAAAACATGCTCACTATATAATGTAAAGTTAGGATTAATAAATTCCCCTAGTCAATCGGAGCCCAAAGCCGCCGGAAATTGCCCATGTATTGGTTGTTGATTTCCCCCCCTATGGTCTAGTTTTCTACCAGACATCCCCCCATATCCCCCCCAGTTAATCCGACCCCACAACCAGGTCAATTTTTCGTATTATTACGACTACTACTACTACTACTGCTGCTGCTGCTACTAGTACTAGCTATTGCTGCTGCTGCTACTACCACCACCACCACCTACTAACTACTAACTACTAACTACTACCGATGACGACGACTGCGACTACGATTGCTCCCTGAGCAGATTATTCAGGGGGAGTGGACCTCATGAATGGAATCTCAGACCTGCTAGACCTTCTAGACCTTCCACGAGGGGGGGGTAAAAAATGGTAAACACTGATTGTTCTAAGAATACTTATTGTGTTCTACAGATCTGCTGGTTCACCAGGGTGACATACAACTACTCACTCTTCCACGCTTCTCCGACCGACTCGGTCCCCCGTACTGGGCACCGGGTGCCGGCCCAGGTGCCCAAGGGTTGGCCTTCTGGAAGCTATCAAGAGTGGCGTAGTCTCATCTTCGAGCCCGCAGAAACGGAGGCCACGCGATCCGGATGTCCGGAAGAAAGGAGATGGAAATGAAAGAGAACAGCCATGAGAGGAGAGATTTGAGGGAAGTGTTACACAGAGAGATCGATGGACTTGGGCGAAAAGTATGCAGCTCAACATGTGTTTTTTTCAGTTCATCAACTTTGTTCTGGAAGTTTGAATGGATTTCTTGGGGTTCAACCTCCAGCACTCCATGGGTGTTCTGCCCCCGGTGATGGTTTGACCCCCAGTATCGTCGAGGGAGCACTCTGTGAAGCGCAGGCGCGAACCGGCGCCTTTGGGTGAAAAACCCAATGTGATGGTTTGAACATGTTTGAAGGCTTCTCAGTTTGGATGATATAATGTGTTTGATTTCGTAGCATACAGGGATGATATGGTGCACTTCCAAAGATCCCACGTTCAAGCTTTTGGAAAAGGCCAGCTGGTACTTGGTAAAACTGCCGGTAAAAGGAGGCCGACATCTCTTCCAAAGCCACCTCTCAACTCACTTCACCTTGCTTGGAGTGGCGCTTTCATCGTCGGTGCCCAGGATGCCGGGCCACCTTTCATCCAGTCCGTCTCCAAGGTGTCTCTGGAGCGCAGCGGGTGAGGGATCCAAAAGCACACGGTAGATATTCACAAGTATGTTATTGTGTAGGAGGATCCAAGTGCGTGTATTTGTATTACCAGTGATGCTCTGGTCCAAATCACGTGAGGTTCCTTTGTATTGAAGTACTTTCTCTATTTCGCGACCGCTCAAGTCAACGACTGGGTGCGTTCGGTGCCATTTGGGGTTCGGCTCACTGTAGCCTTTGGAGCCAAAGCACTCACCTTTTGGAAAGAAGACATCGCAAGACCTGGAACTGATGGTGTTCGAGTTCAAAAGGTTCGCACCCAGCACCCGAACCAGCTTCAGCATGCTAACCTGGAACCCATGACTCTCGACTGTTGAAAACTATTCTCCAAAACCCCCTCGACCCCGCACCCGCCAGAGCTGCGCTATGCACGCTGCACTGAATGCAGGTGACCTGTTGCCCTGATGGTCGCTGGTTCCCGGAGGCAGATCCTCAGGCGTTGGGATGGAAGGGCAGACGCACGCCGTCAGTTGTTCAGACAAAGAGGAACGATGGTAATTTGTTGTTCGCATAGTCCAATCTTTGGAATAGAACATTACACATTTGCTAAACCTGTGAGCTGATCCAGACGTCTTTGCAGAACACCTCCGCGAGGTTTTAGCTTTGAACTATCCCAAGACACTGGGCGCTGCCGTCGCTGCATCCTTGAAGCTTTTGCACGTGGAACGTCCAAAGATCCTGGTGATTGGCTTAGGTGGGGAGAGCTGAAGTTGGAAGATGTGGAGACAACCAATGGGTGTTGGTCAAGAAAACCCCTTCTTCCTGGGGATCGAACTAGGAAAAAAACATTGTCATTTGAAGGATTTACTTTAATTTGCATTTGTAGCTTGCATGTATGTAGCCCAAGCTTTTATTATGATGTTCTTTTCTGTGGTGGTTTGTGCATGTGCGCTTGATACATCAAATTGATTGTGCAATATTGTGCAAAACATGCTTGTTATTCTAGTTAGCATCACTAGCATCAGAAGTCATTGCTCAAGTGATGGCGCTGTACTAGGAAGAGCTCCAAACGCTGGAATAGGAGCGGATGATTTGCGATCCTCCTTGTTCATGCCTGGGCAGCATTGACTTTTCACAAAAGACCCAACCAGTCCCCGTCAGGCTCCGGTGCGGTGCCCCTGTGGCTGGCGGAGCTGTTTCCAGACAGCCAGGTAGACGTGGTGGAACTCGAGGCTTGGAACCCGCGACTTGTGCGCTTTGCGCAGCGATGCCATCGATGAATGATTAGGACCGAGTTTTGATACTAGGGGTACGTATGAGTTGGTGAATCACCCAAGATCTTGGCGTTTGTTTTTCTTTTTGTTGGTCTTGAAAGTGTTTGACTAGTTCATACATATTTCAAGATATTTCAAGGTTTCCCCAGTTTTGCTTCAAGTATTCATTTGGATGCAACCCTGCAATCGCACGCCTGAAAATTAACCCTTGCGGTTGGTCTTCTCACATGGGGCTTTGCACCGCTTCATTCCGCACTGGAAAACAATAGTCAACTCGCAGATTCATCTACCAAATGCTCGTGGTCAAAGGCCAGCACTTGTGGCACTACTTCGGACTCCTCTCAAGCTCTTGCGCTCCGCGCGCAGGGAACGGTGATCCAGGCAGCATCCGAGGTTCTGGGCTTTCCCATCGAGGTGCCTGGTGCAGGTGGGGGGCAGCGGGGTTGACGAGTCCCGTGCCGCGTGGGGAGGGATCATGTTTGTTTTGAGAAGCGGATAGGATAGGAGTGATTTGCAAGAATTTGCAGATGAATTTTTGCGTGTGACACTTGGTGCATGTGGTTCTTCGCGTCAACTATCAACCATGAAGCAACACTTGTCCATGGAGTGATTGAGTGGAGTGAGAGGTGGGAAAGAGTGGAGTTTGGGCTGATCAACTCTGCGTTGCTTTGCATGCAGTCCAACAGACCCAAACACCCACAGACACCGGCAAGTGAAAGTGCATTTGTTGGGCTCGTGCCATGTCCGGAGCATTCAGGGCGGCGTCATGTTGCCATTAGGAGCAAGAAGCTACTAGTAGCTCCTTGGCATTGCTACTAGGAGCAAGGACGCTGCTATGTTGACCATCATTTTGGTCTGGTTCGTCGCCCTTTGCAGGTGATCGAAACCTTTCGCCCCTGCGTGGACGGATGGGTCAACGCTTGCGTGCCATTGAGGGAGACGGCGACTTGGCTCTAATTGTGTGGTGCTAGTGACTCAGATAGAGACGCAATGCACAGTTTGCATCATGATGTTTGATAACTCGGGCAAGTTGCCAGTGTTTTCAGTCGCTTTAACCAAGCGTTCAAGGAGCAGCAGCAGTTTTTCTTGTAATGTACATACTTGTCACTCTGAAAGCAGTCATCAGAAGATGTCACACTAGCGACCCCCAATGGTCAAGTGAATCCGCAGCAACGGTGTTCGGGCTTACTCTTCAGGTATCCTGTCGTCGTCGCCGCTGTGGCCTCCGATCCGAAAGTGTTTTCATCACTCAGGTGCTGCTCTTGCCTAGCGATGGGCTGCGGACAAGGGAACGCGCTACGATGCGGCCACCCGTCATTCACAAGGGATGTCTGGTTCGGTGGCGTTTTTGATGATCAACTTCCTCACGGACGCCGCTGTGGAACCAGCGAACCACCGCGCGCAACCCTGTAACCACCGCGGTCGACCTGACCGCCGTGGCCAAGCAGCGCGAGAACAGTAGACATGTGCAACAACGACAAGATGCGAAGCGTCCCATGATGTGGGTTGGGGAGCACACCCTGTTAAACAAGAACTAGGAGAGCACTAGGAGAGCACGTTCCACCTAAACTCTGATCTTGCTTGTGGGTATGATTGCCTCAAGTTCCGCTAGCCGCTGGCCGCTGCATGCTCTTGGCCATCGTACTGACTGGCCACGATTGGCAGACTGCACAACGACTCCTCCGTTTAGCTTGACTGAGCTTGGCAAGCCTGTTACATGGCGGTGACTGGAGCAACGGACCCTTCTGCAAAGAGTCGCAACGGACGTTTCAGCTTAGGTCCTGCCGTAGCGCCGTAGCGCCTTTGTCCGATCAAGATCTCAGTTGATCGAGAACCAAACAGCCGTTGGTTGCCACGATCTCATGACGGTGACGGAGGATGATGCGCATGTTCTCACGACGAACCGCATGGATGAAGACAGGTTGCTGGCAAGATCCGAACCTGTGCAAAGTAATTACCTTGAACCTCGCCGCTGATGGTTATGGAGTGAGATGAAGATGTACTGACACGCGCTGTGCACATCCAGAAATGATTCAAGAGGACATGTATCGTAATGCAACATAATGAAATGCAAGAGAGTTGACGAATGGCATGCAACGTTAGTTTGATGAAACGGAATGAACTGAAATGTAGTGCAATGAGGTATTCGACAAAGATGCAACACGGAAAATAATGCAACATATGCAACATATATGATATTCTGATATATGCAACACATATGTTTGAAGAGTCACTGCTTTAGGCAATGAAGCAGGAGCTGCAATTATGTTCGGGGCGTGATGAAGATGAAGATGATAACGGTTGATTGTCAGAAGCCAACAGTTACCTATGCAGAGCTAAAGGTCCGGCATTTCCAGCAGGCCCCTTGCTACGTTGTGTGGTTTCACTTTGGATTCTAGATGTGTTTGTTCATTTATTGTAGATCAGATGGAGACGCGGGACTACCTGGATTCCACGCAGGGCTACAGGAGTGCTCCTGTCAACCGGATGGATTTGACGTGGTTCAATGAATGCTCTTTTCTTGAGCGCTTTGAGCCATCCTGGAGGGCGTATCATGTTTTGGTGCCTACCTGCTTAGGGCCGAACGCTCAATTTGAGGTTCTCATCGATGCCTATGATTCCTTGAACCGTGTGCCTCAGCCTTTGTGGATTGAAGATGGACCTTTGGCGCAAGCCTTGCCGCGCTTGCTCGAGGAGGTCGGTGTTGTGGCAGTGCCTTGACCAGAACAAAATCGGTCGTATGTTCCAAATTCTAACATCTTTTGGTGGTTACACTATCTCCCTCGGGTACTCCACTTGTGTGGAAGGACCTTGAGGTGCGAACTCGGACGTATCGCATGTCACTTTTTGGTGGTTTAGTCGTATTTGTTCCTTGAGCAATCACTCAGATCCAAGGAACCAGCAACCGCTCTATCTTGTTTCAATTTGTGTGATTGTGTCCACCGTGACATTGAACACTAATCCAAAGACTTCACATTTCCGCAGCCACTTGTGGTGCGGAAATGTGTTTGTTAGAATTGTTAGGTATTTCCCCAAAGTAGGGCGCACCAAGAAATCGATTTTTGACTAATGTTGGTCTAAACGAATCGTTTTGAAGCTGGTTGGGGTCTATGCTTGTATAATTCTATGGTGTGTCCATGTTTGTCCCACGCCCTCGTCCCAGTCACCATGTTTTTCTTCCAACGTCCCTGATCCGGGTGTGACCCACTGTTTCCATGCGCATGAATGCACCGAATGAGCAGTAGCTATTGTCCCCCCCAAACAAGTTGATCGGATCAGCGGTGCCTCCACAGGCGAACGTGCCGCCGGGCTTTCCCACGCTGCGGCTCATCGCCAGCTACTTGCAGGCCTTGGGCACAGCGCCTCACTCTCAAGAGATGAGGGGTGGAAACTCCCTCGAGTGAAGACCTGGGGCTTTTCTTTCGGTTGAAAGATTGTTGAAAGAAAGAAAGAAACCGCCAGCTGGATTGATGAGAGTTTGATGAAACTGCTCATCTCAACAATCTGTTGATTGATGAGCGCAGCTGGAGCCAAACAGATTTTGTTCGCCCGACCGAGCTGGAGCGAGTGGTGTGCGAGTTTAGCCCAGATCCGGTCCCATTGGACCAATGGAAGGGAAAGGGAAGTCTCTGACAATGCAAACAAATTCGAGTCGATGTGAGACCTTGATCAGGTCGAGGACGAACTAATCCAGAATGACTTTTTAGTGTTTCGTTTACAATCTTTCAACAAGACTAGCTAAAGGAACCCTTGGAATTGTTGCTAAATAGACCAAATCGATTTCCTTTGGGGGTTTTGTCTATACCTGATTTCTCCGTGTCTCTGATTCCCACTCCGGTGACCAAGGATGCACAGGAGACACCAGCTTTGACCTTCGAGGCTAGGACTGAGTGCGAAGGTGAAGGACAGGAAGTATATGATATATAAGGGATTCTCGACCTGGGTTGTAACGACATGTTGTAACATTCTAAATTTTATTATTGAAATTGCCTTAAGTAGTGAATATGTTGGTATATTTTGGAATATATTGGATGATATTAGGATATTAGTATAAACATCCATGATGTTTGCACGCATACCGCATACCTATATATATATAATCAACATGTTGGGGCTGGAGATCTTGTTTCGCCGAAGCCCGGAGACTTGTTTTTCTTCAACATGTATTGGGTTCGCCGCTTCTGTCTATTTGGGGAGCACATGCATTTTACGAACGATCATCCACCGTCGCTGGTAATAGGATAGACCTAAGACATGCTGTTTTGCTATGTCTGATTTCCCAACGAACTTTGGCTCTACACCTTCATACGGCGCCGGGCTTGGTGCAAGCCGCGCCGGCCGTATGGTGGAGCTTTGCTCGGCAGTGTCGGGCGAAGTGTTGGTGCAGCTGGCGGCGATCGATGTGGAAGAGCAGGTGGTGAAAGTGTTGAAGAGGCACTTTGGAGTGGACATTTGGATGGAAGAGATTTCGAGGAATCTGAAGGTGTTTGGGTTTTCATATTGTAAAAGACCAGAAATGGAAAAGATGACCACTCAGCAGCAGGAGGAGAGGCCCCCCGAAAGAATCCAAAAGACCTGGTCGGGGTGAATTTTGGCGGCTCCTGGCAGAGGGGACCAAGCAAGGAATCTAGAATCTAAGGTGTTAGGTGTTCTTCTGTGACAAGGAACTGCTTGATCAGGGAAAGGAGTGGGGCTGGACGCTTGTTCCGCCCAGCCGGTCGCGCCAGGTTGGTGTTCCAAGAGATTGGAGCTACGAGGTTTCAACAGAGATGGTTCTATGAAGACTATGCCGAGATTCTCGCAGTTTGCTTTAGGAACTCCAAAGGTTTTTAAGATTTGATTTGGGCACAGTCTGATTTGTTGGTTGCCAGATATGTTGAATGGACATCTAGAAGAAACTCTTGTTTTTGGGATGCTTCCATTGTATGATTCATTAGATTCGCGCAGAGGGCATCATCAGAGGTTCTGAACACGAGGAGATCTATAATATACTGTACACTGTACATGAAAAACACATGCATTTTGGGGTTGCGGTTTGCTTTCCTCTATCGTGTCCTGTGTTGGTCCCCAGCTTTTGTTGTCAATGTCAGAGCTAGTCAACATTGATTCAATGACCCTTTGTTTGCAGCCAACTGACCAAACGAGGATACATGACGACGCAGTTTCTTGTCTTTCTTGGCAATCGGTTTCTTTGCACTCCAGGCATCGACGTCGACGAAGTTGAGTTTCACTCGAGCAAACTGCGGATCATTTGGTTAGACAATTTCATTTAGATGCTTCAGTACGGATAGTTGCCACCACTTGGGAAAATCGAGCCGGGCATTTTGTGGGTGCTTTTTCTTCGAAGTGTTGTCGCAATATTTTAGATGCCTTTTCAAAAGGATGCAAAAGGGTTAGCCACAAAAGTAGTGGACACATGTGGAAAAGGTATAGGTAAGTAAACATATTATACATATACTTAACCAGGCTAGCACCTGGCAGCCGCCGACCCCCAGGGAAGTGGATGGCATAGGTTTAATGGGTTAAGAGTTTTTTTAAAAATCGGGGAACCAAAAAAAACAACACGGAACCCCTAGAGACAGGATCTGTCACTGCATCACCAAAGTAGGCAGAAGAGAGCACGGCAAATGGGTTAGCATTTTTCTTTGAAAATCTGGGTTCCCAAAAAACAACACGGAGCCCCTAGACAACGACAGAACTATCTAGAAAAACCAGAGAAAATCCCGGAAAAGCCCTCGCAAAAGGCATGAAAGGCATGAGTAAAGTTTTGAAAAACCTGCGAAAATCCTAGAAATCCAGCGGAAAACGTTTGCAAGTGGAGGAAAATGGGTTAGCATTTTTCTTTGCAAATCTGGGAACCCAAAAAACAACACGGCCTTTACAAGTACCTAGAGAAACCAGAGGAAATGCTGGACAACACCCTCGCAAAAGGTCTGAAGGGCATGAGTAAATCTTACAAAAACCTTTGAAAATCCTAGAAATCCAGCGGAAAAGGTTGCAAAATCTAGGAAAAACCAAGGGCACTGGCAGGGACCAGGCCGCGACCAGCCCGGGATTCGAGCCCGGGACCATTTAGGGACCGTGCTTATTTTCCGCGCGGGTGGAGAGGGTGCCCCAATCCCCAGTAAGAAGCAAACCAATACATTTGGAGAAATCTTGCACAAATCTTGGACAAATCTTGGCTACTTTTCGTCACTGCAACAAGGCTCCGGAGGGGTAGGGGAGGTATAGCCTTAGCCTTAGTCTAGCCTTAGCCTTAGCCTTAATCATAGCCTTAGCCTTCATCAACAGTCACGCCTGACCCCGCGAGTGGGGTCGGCGGATATGTTCGAAGGCTCAGTTGCAGTCAGCCCGGAGTGCACTTTCAAGCCAAGGCCCAAGTGGAGGAGAGATTCCAGCAAACTGACCATATTCACGATGCAGTCACTAAATAATATCTCGCAGCGGCTTGACCAATGGCCCTTGTCTTCGCCTGCTCTTGTCGAAGTGACCGGTGTGACCGGTGAAGGCCGGATGACTCACGTCGCGGCCCGTCGTGTCATCGGTGATACGTGATACTCATCTCATCCACAAACCAAGACACCCTCGTCCGAAAGCGATAGATGTTGAAGAAACTGAACAAGGACATCCTTGCTGAACCCGAAGCATGTTGGACAAAACACAGTGGGCTCCTGTGGAACCAAACGATATAACCAATCTTTGCATCCTTCTTGCGAACAACGGCCTGTCATATGAAGAGCCAAACACCCCAGAAGAGCCAATCACTGAACACAAGTGACTGACTTGACTCGTTTCGTAGTACGTTGGGTGATGTGGGGGGCGATCACCACATCGATGTGGTTTCAGTACATTGGAGAAAAAGAAGAACATGCTCAGCAGACCAATCAATCAGCCCAGGTTCTGACACCTCCATTGAAGGTGCTTTTGGTTGTCCTCACTTTGCTGCAGGAAGAGCAGTTGGGTATAAAGCTCATCGCTGCATGTGGCGCAAATCGTTGGTACCAAGTTGAAGAGCTGCTGCAAAAGCCTCTTTCCCCAGATTCTGGGGATGGTACACCCCAGATGGCACTACATCTCGCGGCCTTGAACGGGCATGGTAGGTGTTTAGGTTTGTTGCTTGAGGCTGGCGCGGACAAAGACAAGTTCACAGCTACTGGGGAAGTTTGTTTGCACTTAGAACCTCAGAACCTGAGAATCTCACTTGACTTGGTTTGCTAAAGGATTGTGTTTTCCTTCCCGAAAGAGAGCTAAGAACTGCCCAGGAAACGGCTTTGCATTTGGCAACTCGGAATGGACATCAAGGAGTGGTGCAGTTATTGCTTGAGGCTGAGATCGACATAGAAGGCTATTTCACTGCATTCAGGGGTCCTTTCATATCATTCAGGGGTTGATGATTTCTGAGAGCATATGGCTCAAGCACCTCCCGGGAGAGATCCTACCCGCCTGAGGTTTCTAGGCTGCAATCTTTATGTGACCGTCATGGTTGAACGTTTGCTATGTAGGTGGGTTTGATTAGCATTTAAGTGCAATTCATTTGCTGTGTTATTGCCTCAAAGTTCTTCTATTATCGTCATCCACTATCCACTCACTACTGGCTGGGCTCTCTTCTTTCCCCTCTTTAGGTTCTTTAAATCTCTGGTTGATGATCGCAGAGATGATGCACCTGAATCTGGGCCAGCTCTTCGTAAGTCGTTCTTGGAGTCGGTGGTAAAGAAAGAGCGAGTGGAAGAGAACAAAGTTCAAAAGAAAGGGGTGGTTATCGACCTGTCGTGGGAATCATTGCTCGAGTTTCAGAATCAGCATTTGACACACACTGCCCACACGGGGGTACCTGACATACCTCGGAAGCGGCCCAACTACGATGATCGAAAAAGGAAGTTCATGGCTTCAATGATTGAACGGAGACGGTTTCTTGCACCATGCTTAATCTCTGAACCGTTTTGTTGTTTTTGTGCATGTTTGTGCCATAACATTTGGGGACAAACATTTGGGGAGACCAGGATGAGAGCTGAGGCAGGATGTGAATGGCCGATCAGCTGAAAGGGTGAAGAGGGTGCTTTTTGATAAGCATTGCCGCTGCAAGCGCAGCCAATGTTTCAGAATGTTCAAAGAAGACCAGATTCTGAAGTTCCTCAAACTGTTCTGGTCTTTCCGCAAGCCTGTTCAAGATCACTACGCTACATCCTTAGTTTCGGAGAACGATTTTACATAGTGTCCACCCCTTGCCATTTCATGGGGAACGGGAACACCTCAAATTGTCAAAGCCTACTACTGAGATTCATCAAATGGCTTCTGCTGCCGGGACGAACCTCAAGCAGTGGAAACTTCTCGGCAAACCTGTGGGGCTTCGATGCTTAGCAACCCTTCTAGGCATCGGAAATGACCGAATGCACAATGCAAGCCGCGGCCATCTCGACATGCGTTATCGCATTATGGGGAAGGTACCTTTGAATCATAACGAAGTGTTAGCTCCGGGATGATGATGGCTAATAGAGAGACTTTCTCTTGGATTCCCTAACATCTATCTCAGGTACAGCCGCGACACTCGGTGAAGCAGAAGATAATTGATATCCATTTGCTGACGCTCTGGCAAGGGGCGGCCGGGATGCTCCCGAACAGGTATTTTGATTGAATTGTCTATCTGAGTGTCGTTTATTAGGACCAGGAGTGTTCTGTTAGGAGTCGTTATTACTGTTGTGCAATCATATCATGCCATCATTCGGGAGGTGACTGTGAAAAAGTGTCACCAAGGTTTCAACGCGGTGGCTCAACACGGAATCAGAGAAAAGAAAAGAAGACGACTCTTCAGGTGAGCCTGTCAAGTTCGGAGAAGGATTCTGACACCGAATCCTGCCACAAGACAGCATTTAAGTTATGTCCGAGTCAATATTGATCCTAGTACTACTCTATTATCGTGTGTTAGCGTTTGGGTTGCTGACAAGCATACAGACACTATAACACACGCACGCCACCGGAGGTGGTTCAGATCACATGTTCGAGCCTGAGTTCTGTGCAAATGGGGAACTTTTGGAGGAGGACGAGGAGTTGCGATGTCATATCTACGGTTGCAACACATACTTTTGTAAGCCTGCTCCTGAGACCTCACAACGACTCACTGCACAATACACTGTGTTTGAAGCAGTTCACTTAAAATAAGGTATGTGGAGACAGCCTTCGCAGAGAAGATATCGCAGCTACCTACTAGATACTTACCACCGGGCAACATAAAAATGTTATGGCTTGAGTTCCGCCTCACATATCCCGACATATCGACACTTAGATTTGAACATTGAAAGTTTCACTGCGTTCATAGCGGCCTGTTGCAAATTTGTTGAACTGCAGCGTCCTACCAATCAGCTGGTTTTACAAGGTACGCCACGTTCTGGCGACGATACAAATCAGCGTGGGGCAACACACTGCGATTTGTACCACAGAGTACACACGGCACATGCGACATATGCATTGATTGCAAGCAGCGCTTCCAGACCAGCACTGAGTCTTGGCTCTAATGTTTGAGTCACAGTGAGCCACAACGAGACCGCTCACTCAGTATGCTATGGATAGTATATAGTGACTGGAGATTTCAACCACTGGAGGATGCCCAATCGAAGTTCAATTGCGCACGGATTTACAAGAATCACCTCGCCAACATGAGCCGTGATCGCAAATTAGAAGAGTATCTTCAGGTGAGGTGTGAATTCAATGCAGCTTTGAGTCCATTCAACGCCCTGTCCCAATACTTTTTGCTGGCTGCAGGTGCAATCGCCCTTGGATGATGACAACGCCCCGTTGACCATCCATTGGGCTGCTTGGTGTCAACGGGCGGTGGGGACGCACAGCGAAACATGACATCATAGTAGATCATAGTAGTCCTGGTTCTATATAAACCGGACACATATTGTGTCACTCACACAGTGTCACACAGTAACCACCCAAGGATGGAATGGATCAGTCGAAGTGGAGCTTGCCAAGAAACCGCATAGTACAATCCTCAAAAGAGACGCAAAACATGATCCGCCCGCGGATGAAAATCCATGGCCTTTGGATGCATGGGATATCTCTCAATTTGTACGTTATCCATCCAGGGGTGCCAGCGGACAGCAGCCTGATTGCTGAGTGCTTTTTGCGGGCAATGGAAGATGCAACACATATCTTTGAGCGCCACAACAAGGTTATGCCTTCAGAGTGCACAGTGTGGGTAT